GCAACAGGCTTCCCGAGACGCTCGTACCCGGTGCCGTGCAGCAGATTGCACAGTTCTTCAGAGGAGGTCTCTCCTTTTCCTTTAAAGAAATAATTGCATAAGGCAAAAACTCAGCCTCCCTGGGGAGCAGGATCTCAGCTGGTGGAAAAGTTCACAGCTGCACTGATTTCAGGGGGGCTAGGACCGCTGATACAGAAGCGGAGGACCGAGAGGGGTGTCCTGGGCCGTGGAGTCCTGCCCCCCCATATTAACAGGCCAAATAATATTTCCTCCGGCCCCGCAACCACCGAACTCCCTTCATTGTAGATGCTTTTCCCCTGTGCTCAGGGTAGCTCCCTGCTAAAGAGCAGGGCGAGCCCCACCAGTGTTCGTTCCCCTCTATGGTATTTTCCCAAATCCGAGAGCTTTGGAGTAGCCCGAGTGTGGATTCAAGAGAGCTGCAACATTTTGGAAGCAGAGTACATGGTAGAGGCGATATCTTTTATTCCACCAGCTAGGTTTTTGCAAAAATAAATAAATCAATCCATCCCTTTAATTGCAGCATTTTGGTTCACATTCGCTGAAGAAACTCGCTCCCTTTTGCGGCAGGTGAGAGCATCATCCTGCGGCATGGGATGGTTGTCATTAACCAAGCTGCCCTCCAGCAGAGTCCAGGGGGAAAGCACGGGCCCTTCCGTAGCAAGCGTCCCAGTTCATCGTGGCCTACAGCTCGGACTTGGCCATTGTGGCCATATTAATTCAGAACAAAAACGGGCCTTCCTCCCTCCTTAATGCTAATTCTGACAGTGCATTTGAATATTAATAGAAGCGCTGCACCAGAAGCGCAAAGCCTCTCTCCCTTTTGAAGCTTGATTTTATTTTTGATGCAGCGAACAGGTGTTGGTTTCAGAGGTTTGCTGCATTAAGGTTTTCTTTTCAGCCTGCCATGTAAACTGACACTAGATGAAGGCTAAGCATACGACTTCTCACCTATCTGCTCTTCTTTTACGCCGCCCGTTTTCATGGCAGACTCATGCCGCCCTGACCCAGGCTTGGTGTGCATGAGAAGGTTACACTGATTGAATTTAAATCTGTTTTTAATTGATTTCGTTTAACCGGAGCAAACCCCTCCCGCTTTCCTGGTAAAGAAAGGCTGGTTTCTGTTTGGCTAAAACCACTTTCTAAGAAACGTAGAAGCAGAACTGGAAATCAGCTGCATCCAAAGAAGACTCGAGAGCATTCACACAGCTTTCTGCGTTGTTTTAACTGGGCTGGTGTAAAGCCATATTTTAAGTTGCTGCTTTAATCTGTGGACAAACCGTTTGACATAAGGAGAGATGAGTTCTCCCATCAGCGACTATTAGAGGAAACTGCCTCGCAGCGTGTTCATCAATAAATATTCACAGAGGCCGCCTCTACGCGAGACGCTGGCTGCACAAGTGTTACTGCACAGTCATTTAGCACTTGCATACCCAAGTGCTAAATGACCACGCAGGAACCGGCATTACCTGCATGGCATCCTGGTGATGAGTAGCTCGTTACTACTGTGCAGTAGCATCGCATTGCGGTGCGTGCCCCGTGACGCTGCTGTGCAGTACTACGAGTTACTCCGCAGTAAGCGTCTCGTGTAGACACGGCCAGAGACACTTAGTGCTGGGATACCCACTGGGATTAGACTGTAACATTACCTCGAAAATCCAGGTCTAGGTTCTTGGAACTGCCCTGAGCTTTTGAATGCTCCCCACCTGTCTTCCCCGGCCTCCACCTTAACACAAACCCACACAAGCCCCCTCTTTGTTCCCTTTGACTGTCTTATGTGCTTTGCATTTTAAATAACCAAGCGCTGCTGCAGATTGCGAAGGGGATGCTGACCGCTCGAGTCGGGAGGAACTGGTGCTCAGAGTGGGTTAAGCCTGGTGTGAAGCGGTTGGTTGAGGTTAAGTTTGGATTAATGGTGGCTGCACGGGGTATTTGGCTTCAAGTCTGGGGAATCGTAGTGCTTTGCATTATGATTTAGCTCCTTTCCTCCAAAAGCCTTTTATAGTCCCTGCAGAGCTCGAAAAGTTCAACTTTCCAGCGCCCTGATTGCGCAGCGAGCTCCTTTTACGGAGGGATAAACTGGAGGTACCGAGGGGTTAAGCAACTTGCCCAAGGCATATGAGTCAGTGCCAGAGCTGGGAATAGAAACGGAGAGCCTTGGCTTCCCGTCTTGGCTCTCCTCACTCGGTCTCCGATTGAGCAGAGTCATCTTGTGCTCTTGAAGTCACAGGCTAAAATGAGACAGTAAAACTTGTCTTCCCTGCGACGTAGGGTAGGTAACGGGGAGGCGGGGGGATAAGCCTGGCTGGGACGGAGTGAGGGGGCCAGTCGGTCCAGTCAGTGCAAATAAGAAGTTAAAACAAATGCTGCCCCAGTCCTTGCTCAGGGGAAAAGGTGGGGTCCTAATGACCCCCCAGCTTTGAATCATCTTGGGAATGGTAACACTGGGCGTGTCTACATGTGCACGTTTAACCAAAATTACTGCGCAGTACAGGTGCGCACCTACACGTGCACTCCCATACTGCACAGTAAATATAGTGACTTACACCAATTTGTGCATAAATTTGATTACCTGAATGATGCAGGTAATCAGATTTATGCCTGATAGTGTTACTGAGCAGTAAAGCATCTACATGTGCATTACTGTGCAGTAACTAGTGTCCCAAGTCAGTCCAGACACAGCGTTAACACGCTTTAACGCCTGCACACGTAGACGCCGGCCTATTCCCACTCACTGCACTGTAATTTACTGTGCAGTAAATTTAAGCCGGCATAAAGGCACGTGTAGATCCACCTACTGGCAGCAAAAAAGCTGTGAACCCACTTCATCTGCAGTGCAAAAAAAGCAACAGCTGGTTGCACCGAAGGCACCTGGACACCGGGATCGTAGCCCCATCCCAATGGTGCAGCCCCCTTTCCCATCCTTCTCTCCCCTGGGCCCTGTGGTGGATACTGGGAGAGCTGGCTGACAGGCAGATGTCGCCTTCCTTACTTCCTATATGTACAATGATATTAATATTCATCAAAATAACCTGGTCTTTTGAAGGCTCTTGATGTCCAAGCTCTTTTCAGGGTCTCACTCCCTAGCAGGCTTGCTGCTTTGATCGGGTAATTTCTGGATTCTTGGTGTTCCCTTGCACGCATCTTCCACCCCTCTTAATTTACAACCAGATTTTGAGCCCAGCTACAGCCGTGTTTCCACGAGCGGTCGAACGCCCTGGATTCAGTGCAGCTCTCCAGCACGTGCGTGGTCTAAAGCACGACCTTGATGGAAAAACAAGTATCTCCCTGTTTTCTCAAGCCGCGCTTTGGACACGACCCGTTTCAGCACTTGCTCTGAAAAGGCCCTGCCAACTCGAAAGATCCTATTTGTCTGCACATTGCAGTCTCTTTGGCACCTGTGAAACTTTTACTTTGCGGATAAATGAGGCTTTTTAAGAGGGTGAGGCAGCCAAATGTGAATCATCGTAAATCAGTCTGTTTTAAGTGATTCAGTTCAATGCCGCGTGATTTTCAACCGCCGGCAAAAGTGGCTGAGAAGCATCATGTTCTTATTCATCGGAGGGGGTGAGGGAGAACATCCCTCTGGAGCTGATCACATCCCTCGTCGTGATTAAGAAGCATTTTCTAGTCCGTGAGCTTGGCTTGCCAAAGGGCTTATAAACTCCAAGAAGGGTCTTAAATAGAGGGGCTGGGAGGACAGGGATGGGTTCAAAGAGACAGACCAGCATGAGCGCACCGAATGCAATTGGGTCAAGTGTTTATTTGAAAGAGATGCTCCACTTGGGCAGGAGAGCTGGGCGTCCCTATTTTGCATTCATGAATGCATTGCCTGGGTGCTGGCTCTCTTCATTTTCTGCTTACCCAGGGGGTAGCGGGCTTGATTAATCCACAGGACTTGCTCAAACCCCCTCTGCTCTCTCTTATTATTCAGCAGGTTCTCAAGTGTCTGTGAACGTCTCTATTTAGGGCTCCTCCGTGTCAGCCTTGCCAATAATCTCAGTGACGGTTCGCTCCAGTCTGACTTCACGTCAGGCATCTGCTTTGCTTCTTGTGACTAATGCACTATACTCTGGAGGCGGGGAGTAACTGTTCTTCCTACTGATTGAGGCCAAAAAGGAATCGGAAATAAAAAAAGGAGGGGAGGGAGAGAGGTTTTATTAAAAAAACGCTGGAGGTGCAGACAGTTTTTGGAGCTTTTTAACTGTTTGACAGCTGTGGAAATGCAGCGAGTGACTCATAACGCTCCCTCTGAGCAAAGCAGTTTCATTTGAAACCTGCAGACTATTGGTAGGACCGCGGCGGACTTGGACGCTTCCTGTAGGGCCAGATTCTGCCAGCAATGCTGAATGCAGCGCTTAGGGCCAGCTTGTCCTAATGCAGGTATCGAGCCAACAATATGGGTGGAAGGGACTGCAAAACTTAACTCCCCCGTCTGCTGTTTCTGTGCGTTACAAATCATCCTAACGGGCTTAGGGCTGGGATCTCTCAAAGGGTATCAGACATTAGACAGCAACTTTGCCTGGGACTTTGGGCCTCTACCTGTCTCCGTCCTTTAAGTCTCTGGGTTACACACTATTGGAAATGTGCCAGATCGCTGCCTGCCTGGGTATCATCCCACTCTAGGCACTAGACATCAGTCTTGGAGGTCAACATGAAAGGGGTGCAGGATGGGACCACGCATTCGGAAGGGCAGGAAAGGAGGAGTTATACAAAAAGCAAGAGATGCTGCCGCCAAACCAGAAAGGACAAGTTCAAACTCTGCCTAAACTTGTGATTGAATACGGTCTGGTTTGCTTTAGGAGCACTACAGGGCCCGTGTGCATGTCTCTAGCACCATGGTATCTTAATGGGACGGTCGCTAGAGAAATCCAGCAAGTTGCCTGTGTGACAAGCTGGCTGGCAAGTGCTAAAATCTCTGGTTCTGTCTTTTTTCCCCCCCTTTTGGCAAACCTCTCCAATTCTCATCCCGTCTGTTTCAGACATCACAACAGGATCCGGAGCATCGATGCGAGTCAGCTGAAGCCCTACGTTGCCCTGGAAACGTTGGACCTGAGTTTCAATGACATCACGGAAATACGAAGCGGTTCCTTTCCGCAGGGACTTCACATAAAGGAGCTGTAAGTTGTTTTTTTTCTCTTGCCGGGAACAGCATTTGTTGAATTGCTGCAGCAGAGAGGAGGCCCTGCCACCACCTCTGCGAACGAATCGGTACCAAACCCTCTGAATTAGGGGGGCTTCTAACACCTGCATCTCACGTGCGATGGGGAGGGGGTGTCCCATCATCCAAGTAGTAATGCAAGCGCCGCTATTTTGCCAGCTGCAATGAGAACAGTGACCGAGTCAGGCACACATGAACATGTCCCGAAAAAGCTTTGAACACGTGAAGCCGGAGCAGGGAGGTACACACTGGGAGGCATGCGGGTGGGAGAAAATAGCTGTTTCCCTTTGGATCCTGTACTTGTCCCTGAGTGACAACCTACTCAGGGAACCCACCCGTAGAGAACAGGCTGCAAGGAATCAAACCAGAGCCCCAGTGGGCCTTACAGGGAAAATGCAGCGTAATCTGTATATGATTCATGTGACAGCTGCTCTAGAAGCTGCAGCCCCATGAGTTGCATTCATAATTTCAAGCAGTCTTCAGAGACTGCACTTTCAGGCCCTGTTTGCATATGATGGATGACTGTGTTATGGATCTGATGGAGAGCCCTGCTAACAATCACCTGCATTGGAGTGGAGGGTGTTTAAGGTCTCTCAGGAGGGAATCGGCGCTCTCCCAGGTTAGACCCCAGCACGGGCTGCGGGCAAGATGGTTTGCTTTCATTAATCCAAAAGCCTAGCCCCCAGCATGGGCCCTGGGCTAAGTGGTTTGCTTGCATTCATCTGAAAGCCTGGGACCCCAGTGTGGGCTCTGGTCAAAGTGGTTTGCTTGCATTTATCCAAAATCCTGGACCCCAGCGTGGGCTCTGGGCAAAGTGATTTTGCATAAATCACGGGAGTGTGTACCTCCCTTTATTTTGGATAAATGGCTTGCATTTATCCAAAAGCCTGGATGGGCTCTGGGCAAGGTGGTGTCCTTGCATTTATCCGAAAGCCTGGATGGACTCTGGACAAGGTAGTTTGCTTGCATTTATCCAAAAGCCCGGATGGGCTCTGGGCAAGGTGGTTTGCTTGCATTTATCCAAAAACCCGGATGGGCTCTGGGCAAGGTGGTTTGCTTGCATTTAACCAAGAGCCTGGACCCCAGCGTGGGCTCTGGTAAGGTAGTTTGCTTGCATTTATCTAAAAGCCTGAGCTATTTAAATGGAGCACGTCTACCTTCATCCTGCTGTTGGGCCACCGTGCAAATGCTGATCACCCAACAACGAAGAGCTCTGACATAACCACGAAGTTCTCTGTGATGGTTTATTACAGCTACCTGGGGAACAACAGAATCAGTGCCCTGGAGCCTGGTGCTTTTGATGGTCTGTCACGCTCCCTGCTAACGCTCCGGCTGAGTAAAAACAGGATCGCCCAGCTTCCTGTCAAGGCATTCAAGCTACCCAGGCTAACTCAACTGTGAGTAGAAACGTGCACTTTAATTAAGGCTAACCAAACTTTATGGAGACAAAATTTCCCCGAGGACATGTACACCAAGTGCAGCCCTTCCTCACTCTCCATCTATAAAACTCAGAATAAGCTATATTTAATAGTCCTATGGCAGCACCTCATAAAACAAATTGGGAGAGGGTTCATTTTGTCTCAGACTCGTTGACTTATTTGGATCAGTCTCTGGATGAAAATAATATGGGAGCTGTTGATATAGACAAGTGTCTCCAAAAAAAAAAAGAGCAGCTGTCTTAAGGAACAGTTAATACATTTTATATGGTCAAGAATTATCTTGGTGGGAAAATTTGGACAGACAGGGCTGAGTGACGGTGTTGTTATGAACCACCGTATTGTTATGCTTTCAAGACCACACAGGTATCTTTATGTGGCCATAAAAGTGCAGCAAAGGGAGGTTGTTAAACTGTGCAGTGATATTTGGGCAGACACACCAGTGCTGTTGATGGGTTAACACACACATTGTTATTATCCCAGCTGCAGTATGGAGTAAGCTGCCCGGGCACACATCTACATCTGCAGCTATAAATGGGCTTTATGGGCAAAGAGTTGTTCTAATTGTTTGACTTTTCCCCTCTGTTTATAGCCTTTATGGGCCTGATCCAAAATACCCTTTCCACTGGGTTCAGTGAACTTGGGTTTTTAAAGAGCAATAAGCAAACCAGTACCTTTTGTGGAGCTGGGATTTCATCTGCTGTGCTCAAGGGTAGCAGGTCATGACGTGCCCCATAGCTCCCCTGGGTATCACCCCCCGTAGGATGGGAACCATCGGACATGATGGTACTCCCGATTTTTCTTTTTTTAAGCATTGATTGCTTTTCAAACGACAGACAGGAACAAACAGAACAGAGCTCAGATCTCCAAGTGCAAAAAACCCTTGTTTTTGTAGAAACTTCTTTCTTAATCTTTTCTTACAATACTATGGAGCGGGGGAGAAGGCTAAAGTTGTCTGGGGAACTGAATGTTGTCCTTTCAGACCTAGTAATAAAACATGCACCTGGGCTCGCACTTCGTGTGGCTCATGTTTATGTCAGAGTCAATTTTACTCCTGGAAAAACAAAGGTTTGCAAGGGAAATACTGCTGAGCCTTCGATCTGCTGGTTCAGACGGGGCTTTCACATGAGGGCAGATGAAGTGTGAATGCTGGCGAAAAGGATAAAGGGTTTAATGGAAACGGCCGCTGGAGGGAAAGAATTGCAACTCTGCATCTCTTCCGCTTCTCCTCCGTACAGCAAAGCTTTCCCAAGAGCAAGTTTGTTTAGGGAATGCGCCCAGCTGAATTTCCTGGCCAGCTCCAGTATCCCATGTTTCCGGTGCCCTTCTGCTCCCTCGTGGGAACAGCTCACAGAGGAGCTTGCTGGCGCTCCTCTCCGCATTGTGCAGCTGATCCCAGGAGAAAGCACGGGGGTTTAATACATGTGTCCTGTGTCGGTGATTGCAGGGAGCTGAACCGGAACCGCATCCGCCTGATCGAGGGCCTCACCTTCCAGGGGCTGGACAGCTTGGAAGTACTGAAGCTGCAGCGCAACAACATCAGCAAGCTGACGGACGGGGCCTTCTGGGGCCTGGCCAAGATGCAAGTGCTGTAAGTTGGGCGACGCGCGTGCTTACTGGAAGCGAGTTGCTTTTCTCCCAGGGTCTCCCCTCCTCTCTCCCGTGTTGACCCGTGTCCTACCAGGTTGCTGCCGCATGCCCAGCGGTTGCACGGTGGCAGGTGGGGGACTTTTGTGCTCTGATGCTGTCAGGTCTGGCTCAGCCCCTATCCTAATTGCCAGTCTGGGCTCTGCTCCGTCACATCCCTGCTGCAGACAGGAGGCAGGTGTAAAAGCGACCGGCAAATGGACATAGTTCCTCCTTTGCTGTGGATTGTAGGCCCTTCCCCTTCTTCCAGCAAGCTCTCATGCTGCTGCCAGTGTGGTGAGCTTGCCTCCTGTGCTTGAGTGGGTCTGCTCCTTGGAGACACCCTTTCCAGCAGAAGTGATGCTCACGAGGTAGACACTCCTTTTAGTCCCAAACCGTCACCAGCTGCCTCCCCTCTCCCCAAATTAAAACTCACCCAGAACAGGGCTCTGACCCCAAGAGGTAGAAATGCAGAGACTCCATAAAGACACCTCAAGACTCGTCTTTTGGAGCTGACTTTATCTAGAAGGTGCTTGGATACCACCAAGATAGGCAGCAATATAAGACTGTCAGATAGATGGAAACTATATACCGTATTGTGGGATAATAAATATAGGCAGGGTGTGCATCTGTACTGGTGGTCTTCAATCTTTCTAGACTCAAGGCACCCCTTGGAAAATGCCAGCTCTTAGTTTTCACCTTTTTTTACCTACAGAAAAATAACAGAGCAGTTGTTCAGTGGCAAAGAACTCAGAAAGACGAGAGCTATGGATTTCTGTTTGAAGTCTCTGGGTTTATCTTGTGAATCATGCTTGTAAACCATTGTGTGATACCCAAAGTCACCCTTGAAAGGACCTGAAGGCACCCTGGTTGAGAATCACTGGTCTATACACACTGCATATAAAGTAGGAAGAAACTCTGCTTTATCAGTTGTATAAAAACAAGGCTCAAGAAACAGTACCTTAAAGTTGCTCAAATACCTTTCAAACAGTGTTTTCAAATCCTACAGCGGTAGGATTCGAAAAACACAATAAAATATCTCAGGTGCTCCAGAAGTAAAAGCTCACCCAGATCCTCCATAAGTCTTATTGTAACCAGTACATGGAAGTACGTGTCACAGGCCTGAATGTCCTCCCTCTTGGGACAGCCTGGAAAGCAAGCAAGCTGACACTTCCCCATCTGTAGTTTTTCCTCTGGATGGGGATTCCCAGAAACAGTATTGCCAGGGAGCACTTGAAAGGTCTCGATACAAAATGCTGAGCTTTGTCATAACAAAGGTGGAGCCACACTGGATAGACCCGAGACATAAACCCCAGTTACACATTAGGAAATGGGGAGATGGGTGTTGCAACTGAGCAAAGGTTTCTTTGGACACGCTCCAGACCCGTTCCTGAGACTCTCCTGGAGTTTACTCATGCTGTTCACACACACGTGCGTGCATGGGAGTGTGCAGCCAGGTATAGAGGCAAATAGCAATGTTTTATAAGGGGTGTTTCAGTTCCTGCGGGAAAGTCCAAATATGCTCCCTTGGTTTTCTCCTCAGGCACCTGGAGTACAACAGCCTGACTGAAGTGAACAGCGGCTCTCTTTACGGCCTCTCCTCCCTCCAGCAGCTTCACCTTAGTAACAACTTGATATCTCGCATCAACCCTGATGGCTGGAGCTTCTGTCAGAAGCTACACGAACTGTAAGTTGTTTTCTGATTGCAATAATGGCCAGGCTCTTTCACAGTGATGTGACTTATGTGGCACCTGCTTTGGATAAAGTTGCCCCAGCAGTAAGGAGTAAATGGGTTAGCTCATTTGGTTCTCATTTGGGACTTCCTAGTGCCTTAGGTTCTGGCTGACAAGGTTCTTTGGATAAATGTGATCTCTTTTATTAGACCAACTAAATAGATGGAAAAAATGTTTTTTGCAAGCTTTCAGGTACAAACACCCTTCTTCTTCAGGTGCTTGCTAACACATGCCCTCTCTTGCAGCGTGTGCGCTGCAGAGCTTGGAGGAAGCTGTGCTTTATGGCTCTTTATTTACACGATTGTAACCACTAGAGTTCTGGCCTCCATCAAGGCAGTGAGTGAAGTATTTTATCCTTGCTGCTGCTGTTTACACATTACCCTGGCTGAAGGGTGCGTCTGTCAGAAGGTAAACACGGCAGCCTTGCTCTTCGGAGATTTCCAGGTGCAAATACAATCACTTGGATACACAAAAGCCCCTCCGCCCCACCAATGACAGCCTGATGAAGAGTAAAGCTGCATGCTCTGAGGAAGAGGTGCATTTGGGCTGTTCATTGTGCTTTCAGGAGGAACCATCCCTCCTTAAACACGCTGAACTGGGCGATCAGAGAACACAAGATCGAGTCTTCTTTTTACATGAACACTTAGTACATGCAGGTCCGCAGAGGAACTGTAACTCCTCCTTTCAGCTTGAATCTCGCCTAGTGCTGGAAACTTTGTGCTAAACTTTCCAGGGATCTCACTTCCACTGAGACAGATCTGGAGCTAGGGACAAATGTTCAGATTCGGAAGTCTCTCAGTGCAGAGTAAGGGGATCCCCTTCTTGACACACGTTCATTGCAAAAAAATGTTCCCGTTTTCCAGACAGCTCCCAAAGGGTCTTCCTTCACTCAGCCTGGAGAGTCTAAATACTGGTTATTTAATGCACAGAGTTGTAAACACAGTAGTGCAGGCCAGCGGCCTACCGGCCTTCCATGACAATCAGCATGTTGCTTTATCCACAGCCTGTCCCAGCCTGAACAGACAAACTATTAAATGATAAAACTATGAAAGGCAGGCTGGATTCTCCAGACGTTCACAGGGACATTAAAACCTATCTGGGTGCAAAAGCCAAATTTATCACCATGGAGATTATTTTATTGTGCATGAAGGACTAAGGGAAGAATCAGGTAGTGGCCAGGGCACATATCTGTGGGTAGATGAGGCTGGAGACAAGCGATCAGTGGCTTACTGTGCTGCTGGGAATGAGGTCCCTGGACCCCAGGAGGCACACCAGTCATTTTGCCCATGCATCCAGGAATCAGACTGGTGTGCTGAGATTTGCCAGGCAGTCACTTGGGCAGTTGCACCAAGCTTTGCAAAATCTGCCAGGCTTTGGGGGAAGGGTATTGCTAGGAGCAGCCAGAGGCTAGCGTCTGCTAGTCGAGGACATGAAGGCTGATCTGGAATAGAAGGGCATCAAGAAGAAGGGAAATTTCCCTAGAGCTCTTCTATCCTTATGCAGACTCCCATGTCCCTCATGTAGAGGGTAGCTAATCTGCATGTTTAATTTGGTGCTGGGGCTTAGGAACTGATGCTTATCCAGCACCGGTACTGTTAAAACTGGTGTTTTTTTAGTTAGCAGTGAAAATTGTCAGTCTACCTTTTTTTTTTTTTTTTACGCGGAACGGCTTTCCAAGTAGTCGGGTGAAGCCCGAGGAACGGTAGACTTTCATGGGAGAAAGGGCAGCGCTATGGCATCAAAGGGCTGAGTGTTCTGCCTCCATTGGGAAGAAACGTAACCCCGGTTTCTGAACTGGGACATGAGATGGCAAAGAAAGGAAAACTTGAGGCCACCCAGCAGTTGCATTAAGTGCCTGATTGTCCTTGCAAATCAGGTACTTAGACATCTATATAATGGAACCCGCCCCAGCTGCAGGTAGAGTAATAGGCAAGCATAAAGTTGCACCAAACCAAAATAGGAAGCTGGCCAGGGTCTTTCTTTGTAAGAAAAACATAATCAAGGCTATTTATGTGCAGTTTGCTTTTATGGGAATGGGACCTAATGGAAAATGTAACACAATCCCGGGTAGAGCAACAAGAGCACAGGTTGCCAATTAACCCCATTCTGTTTCATTATTATTACCATCATCGGTACTTTCAGACTGTCAGCGTCTACTCTCCCCTCCACCCCTGCATCTCCCTGCGTTCAAGCGTGTTGTGGAGGGAAAGCACCATTGACCTGCTTGCCCCTTTTGCAGACCTAGCGTAGGCGAAGCCGCCGGGGAGGAAAAAGCGCTGGTGTGTAAGCCAGTCAGTCCCATAGGCAGGAGGCCGAGCCCCGAGCCTGCTGAAGAGAGCCCTGCCTGGTGCTTCAGCATCGGAAACTTTCCAGCTGGTTGCAACCCTAATGACAGATACTCTAAACCTTGCTGCTGTCCATGCCCACATGACGTCAGGAGAAGCTGAAGGGAGCATGCTGTTAGCAGTTGTGGCAGAAACCCCTTCTGCAGAATATCAAAGAGAACTATTTCTTTTCTTCCAGCCAGACTTAGGATTGCTTTTGAGAATTACTATTTTTTTTTCTTGGAAAGAAAAAAAAAACACCCCCAAATTCTTTAATTGCAGGTGAGGACATAATTTTGACCACATGCCAGTTCTTCACAGCTAACACGGCAAGGTCTTTAGGAATGGAGGTCTGTTGTCCCAGGCCGTCTCGAAACGCATTCATCTCTGCTGAATCGCTTCCAACGCCTCCCTCCCCACTTGCCCATTTAAAAGACAAGGCCACTCATTTGCCAAGTAAATGACACTCGCAGCGTTTAGGAATACGGGTCTGTTTTGACTTAGGCTTTGCTTGTGCAGTGGCTTTTATGCAAGCTCTGGGAACATTTTTTACATGGGCTTGTTTGGAGGCAGGGCTGGAGGAGGAATTCGGAGGTCTGGAGCCATCCAAGGGATTTTTCTTGTCGCCCGTATAACAAAAGCCTTCAACATCTTCCCAGAGCAGGATTTTCCAAAGCTTCTAAGTGACTTAAGGGCCTGGATGTGGAGGACTTTCAGTCGGACTTGCAGGCCTAGGTCACTTTAGAAAAGCCACTCAAATGAACTGAGCTGGGGAAGAGGGTTGAGCTTGACTGAATTTTTACACCCAAAAGCCCCTGGATTAGGGACCAGTGCAACTAGAGCAATACTTTCCGCTCCCAAGAGCCCCACAAGGGTTGGGACAACAACTAGGAATAACCAGAGCAGAGAAGTGTGGTCATGCTCTGTTGTCCCCGGTCTGGGTCTGTTGGCAGTGGCTTGATCTGCTCTGCACCCAGGGGGTCTTCCACACCAGCCTGTCTGCCCTTATCCAGCCCCTTCCCAGTGGCAGTGCCGTGATAGTTCCCTTTAGAGGTAGGGTTGAGGCTTCTTTTCAGAAGAGTCTGTATTTGCTGCTAGCCACATCTCATCTCTCCCCTTTGAGTGCCAGCTACGCCACTGCACGAGACCTGCCATAAAGCCAGGGGAGAGCATGCATGACGGAAAAGGGTGGATAGAAACCAAGACAACCCCTCAGCTGTTAGCCATTGAATAGGGATCTCAGGCACGCGTACACCCTTGGAACAAGGCAGGGGTGGATTGTGGGGGTGACCTTCCCCACGTGGGAAGGGAACTGTTAAACGATGCATTGCTACATGCTAAATTGCCTCGTAGCAAAATCGTTTTGGCTCGTGCTCTTGGCTGGGGTTGGGCAAGCAATGGAGACACCCACACCTAGATGCCTGAGGCTCCCTGGGTGAAAATGAATAGAGATGAGACACCTCCAGGATTGCAATAGGTACAGCCCTGCCAAGAATATGCATTCACAGTGGAAGCCTCTGGTCTGGAGTTGATAGCACCAAGCAGCCTGGAGGGGAGGCAGGATAGCTCCTCCCAGTGAGTTGGCAAGCCTTGGCAGTCCTGGGCTTGACAGGGGGGCCAGACGGGACCAGAGTTTCTCCTGATTTACTCCTAGATGCATATGTTCCACATTATCCCTCGCAATGTTTGCAGACTGGACCCTGCTTCCCCCTTGCATCCCAGTTAGCCGCTCACTGAGATGTTGCATCCATATGGGAGCTGTGTGTGTGCATGGGCTGTACACGGGAGCTGACTTGCAAGGAAGCTCCCGGGCCATTGCAGAGCGGATGGAAAGTGCTCGTAGTGACCAGCGCACTGGTTTTCTCTCCAGAATCTTGTCCTACAACAACCTGACCCGGCTGGACGAGGGGAGCCTGGCAGACCTGGGGGGGCTGCACGTGCTGCGACTCAGCCGCAACTCCATCAGCCACATCGCCGAGGGCGCCTTCAAGGGACTCCGAAACCTGCGCGTGCTGTAAGTTGCCCTTGCAGGGAGCTGAGCAGCACACATCTGAGTCCACACACACACTCCACGTGCATACGGCAGCCTTGTTCCCACTGGGCTGGAAAGCCTCACGAGTGCTGCTGTGCAATGCTGAGGAGTGGTCCTGTTCCAGCCCATCAAGGAGTGAGGGGTTGGGAACATCAGACTGGAAGGGGCCACGTCCGACCCTCACTTCGACCAGGCACAAAAGCAGGGGCATCACCAGCACTCGCCATGCATCTTCCAGGGGGTGGGTATCCAGGCCTGATATGAGTCTCCATCAAGGAGTGGGGAATTCAGCCCTTCCCTTTGGGATTCGGTGTGTTCATGTCAGCATCGTGCTGTCCTCAGTACCGCCAGCATGAGGGGTGTCCCCCTTTCTGTTGACTGCCTGGCTCTTTAATCTCCAACGCTGGGAAGTCTCTAGAGCACATTCAGACATCAAGGCCAGCTGTGTTCATTGGACTGATTGAATTCTGTGGGTTTCTTTTTTTTTTTTTTTTTAACTAAAGAAATACAGCTTGATACTTTGATTCCTCTTCCCTCGCCCATTATCCCTTGATTAATTAAAAGGCAATGAGAAGGGAGCGGCTTCCCTGGGCCCGGTTACTGTACGGCACACATCTTATTTATCCCGTCTATTGAGTTTCACACTGGAGGAAGTGACTGAGAAGGGCCTCTGTTTTTTTAAAGCCGGAGCCTTTCAGGCATTGGCATTCAGCAAAGGCCTTCTCCCAAGCAGCTGTCAGTGCGGGGGCCAAAGGCTTCCGAAGAAAAATGAGGGAAAAGGAGCTGGGAGCTCTCTTCTCTTTGCAGTTAATGCCGAGCCCCTTTTATGTTCAGCGCACAGAGACAGAGAGCTCTAATTTAATAAAGAAGAAGGCCTATTGGGCCCTGCACCTGGTGAAAAAGACCCGAGCATGCTTTAATTATGGCCTATTGTTGACGAGCCTTTGGTGGGTGTGAAACTGCTGAAATGTGGAGCTATTCAAATCGAGGTCAGGCCTGGGGACCTCGCCGCACAATGATTAACAAGGCAGCGAGCATTCAGGCTCAGCCAGCCGGAAAGAATAGGAAATTGGCAACAGGGGCAGGGAGAGCAGAGGAGCTGAATACAAAGCGAGCCCGGCCGGAATACCCACTCTCTCCATTTTTTGTCCATGTGAAAAAGCAGGTTTTTTCCCCTCCTTAACACTAAGCCTTTCACTTGCTTTTGGAAGGACAAGCATAGCAACAAGCAGCGCTATTTTCTTCCCCTTTCTAAGCCAGCACAATGCGACGGGCAATTCATAAAAGTGCATGTCAGGTCTCAAACAGGCTGCTCCTTCTCATCCTCTGCTTCGCACCCTGGGAAGGGGCAGCCGGCCAGGGGGCCCAAGCAGAGTCACAGGGGTGGAGCTGGCCAGAAAAAAGGCTTCTAGGAAGAGAGGGGTCTTTCAGGTGTTCCTGTGAGCAGCTCCCACAGACTCAACCGCTCCTCTCCCCTCGTGTCACCACAGTACGGTGGGGGCCAGCACCCTGCTGCATTTGTTTTCTGCCATCCCCTTGGCATGAACCTGCCCACAGACCGTGCTGACGGGCATGGGTATACTGTCTGGGCCAGTTGCTCTGAGATGCAAGACCCAGGTCTCATGCTGACGCCAGCTGAGAAGCAGGGATTGTGGCTTCTGGCCACTTCTTTCTTAGTTCACATTCAAAAAAAGCCAAGAAATCAGTCCTGCAGTCACTTTGGGTCCTGGCAGATATGTCCCAGCCTTGTCCTAGCTGAGGGAGGCTTGGCAGAGGTGCTGTACGTATAAATTGTGCCTACAGTCATTCTCCTGTTCCCATGCATAACTAGATATCCGTAGCACAGGGTCCAAAAACTACCCAGTGCCTGAAGAATCCTCCCAAACATAACATGAAGCAAAAAAGAGTATTTTAAATCAAAGAGGTATTTGGTAGCTGTGTTGGTCTGAGACAAAAAGAAATGCAAAAATCTAAAACTCTTGGAATCAGAAATGATACCTTTTATTAGACGAACCGGGAAATCACAGAAAAAGAATTTTTTTTTTTTTGCGATTTCCCAGTTGATCTAATAAAAGGTATCATTTCTGAACCAAGAGTTCTCGATTTTTGCATTTCTTTTAAATCAATGCATTTGAATATGTGCCTTAAAAAAAACCAAAGCAGCTTTGAAACTTTCCTGCTGTTCTAATTAACCTCAAAAGAGGCAAAATACAAATGGCGAGATAATGTTTTGGAGGGGATTTGTGCGTGCTTCCCTGTGAAATGTTAGGACACCTCCATGTGTATTTATCTTTACTTACTCTTAACACTGAAAGTTAGGGTCAGCGTGCTGGAACACAGCTGGCTGGAGATTTAAAGCCAAAAAGCGTTTCTTAGGCTATTTCAAAATGTTGAATATTTTGTTTGTTTCCTGGTTTGCTCATTTTCATTGACCCCTGCCTCACTGCAAAATTCAGTGTTCATTTTGAAAGCAACTTAGGTTGAATTGTGGCCTTATGCTTGTATCTATGTAGGAACAAAATAGAAGACATGGAAGGAGTTACATGGAAGAGAAGTAGAGCATTAAAATTATACTGGTATAGCTGTGCCAGCACATTTCCCTTAGCCAAGCCCCTGGACTCAGGAACTCATTGAGAAAGATAGCTAAAGACAGTCATTTCCAAAAGGGACTGGACATTTACGGGGACAACAAAACCATGCAGAGTTGCCCTAATTAATGCTATCGTGTGGGAAGGGAAATTAAAGCTTCTGCATCTGGATTTAAACAAAGTGTTAGAAATCAGGATGAAACCAAGTTTGGGTGGAAGAGTATTGCACTTCTTCCTACTTTGGGGAATAGCTTCCTCTGAAGGGACACGACGCTACACCAGACATACCTTGGGTCTGAGTCCCGAGTCTTTCTTTGGCCGTTCATATAAAAAAAGAAACCAAGCAAGCAAAGCTCACTGAGAGATTCCTCCCTCCCCACCATGGGCTACTTCATACAGCCACAAGGAAAGAGCAAAGAGCTTAAGCCCAAGATTTTTTTCATATCTACTGTAAGCGGTAGATATGAAAGCATCACCATCACGAGCCAGTATTCTGGTCTATGTGCAAGAAAAGCAATGTGAAAGGAGCTGGGCCGGCTCTGACAACATTGATTTAACCTTGCTTTGCTGCAAAGCTGGACTTTTGATGGGAGGTTGATGTACTGCAAGGGAAGAAGTGGGAAGCTCTTCATAAGCTGTTCCCAAACTTTTCCCTCTAGGTCTTTAATGGCTTGCCCCAGGCTGAGAAATTGATTGTGAGCTTTCTTTTGTCTCCCCGCAGGGATCTGGACCATAACGAGATTTCGGGCACAATAGAAGACACCAATGGGGCTTTTACAGGCCTTGAAAACCTAAGCAAGCTGTGAGTATCCCAGCTTTTGAAGTTTTGTTGAGCCCTTTACGTGAAGCAGTTGTGCGTGCACGTACATGAGAGACAGAGGGAGGGTTTTCTTCCTATGCAGGCTTTGTTCTTTAGGAAGCAGGACAAAATCTAAAGCAAGTGTGAGACAAAATCCTCAGTCTCAAGTCACTCAGTACAAATAAATGCCATTATTAGTAGCTCCTGTTTTCATAGCCCTGTGCTATTGCAGTGGTTGATGATCTCTGCCCCTTAAAGGTTCAGCACAGTACAATTTGGCTGCAAAAGTAGACAAGAAAAGCTTTAACATACTCTCTAAATGAGGTGGAGCAGCTGAACAGACGGCAGTAAAAATCAGAGGAAGTTGCACGTGACATGTTGCGCTTTAGGATATGAGTGAGTAGGAGGAAGGTCTAGTAGGGGGCCCCCATCGGTTTCACTGGTGAGGCAGACTGGTTTGCACTGGTTTATTTGAGAGAGATGTTCCGGTGACTCCATAACAGCAGGGAGGCTGCAGCAAATACATCGGGCGCAACCTCTTGAAAGGGATAAACTGATACCATTTGGGGGGAAGCATTCAAGGAAATACGTGCATTGCAGATATTTTCAGATGGCTTGATCTTTGCCAGGGTCCAGCTGACAGTTTGCTTCCTGAATGGCTCAGCACTTGAATTCCTGGTCAGCTTGCTGCTTTTCCCTTTGGAAGGGATTGCCCGGAGAGGGGTATTTGAAATTGGCTGTATAAAATCAGCCATGTCAGAAAAGTGCTGCTGGCTCCTGACGAATTGCAAACCCCCTTCTAATCATTACTTCTTGCCTTTGTTTAAGCCTGCGTCTCTCTCATCACACTGTCTCCAGTGCTGAGATGCCACAGCTAGAGGTGCAGTAAAAGGGCCTAGATGGATAGCGGACAGCTGGAATGAATCCTGGCAGGCGGTGTATTGTCTCCTTGTCATTAGAGACCTCGGGGAGAGGGATTTTGGGGGTGGGGAGGAGAGCAACTGCAAGACTGGTGAGGACCTAAGATGGGGCTGGAGAAAAGGGACCTGCTGTCTTGGATGTAGGTCTGTGACCATTTTAGAGGAGAAGGGGTATTCGTTGGAGACCCGGGGATGTGAGATGATGGGGAAGGACCTGAGAGCATTGGCAGAGTGTGCACCAAAGGGGTTGAGGGAAATACGAGGCAGAAGAGGATGCAAAGTGGGTACTGGTTAGGCAGGAAACTTTAATAGGCATCACCGGAAAAAAGGCAGGGGACTCAGTGACAGATCATTGGTGCAACTTGTCTTGATGTTTTTTCTGAAGGAAGTGAGGGGAAAGGTTCAGTGCGCGGGAGGGGAAATGTGGTGGGAGCGAAGAGTTTGAAGAGAGAAGCAAAGGTGGGTTTTAGCTGGAGGGGATTTGAAGACGAGAGTGACCCAGGGGAAGAGGGCAGCACGGTGGGAGCGGAGGGAAGACCCGTCCTGGAGGAACTCCTCTGGGCTTCCTCCCGAGGCACAAGCACAGGTTTGCACACGTGATCCTTGCCTGTGCTAGTAGTGGCTGCTTCGGGGAATATGCCCGGGGACGTGAATCCAGTTGTGAAGTGTGCGTACGGGGTGGGGGAGTTCTTTGTTACCTTTTCATGTCCACCCTCTTGTCTTGCATCGGTCTCGGTGCAGTCAGATTTGGGGTGCAGAGGGCTGCATGCTCTCCCCTGAAGGAAGGATGGCTGTGACTTGGCAGCTCAACAGCTGTTTTGCTTCCCAGTGTAAGAGCACACGGATCACCTCGCTGCGCTGTTTGAGGCCGTTCTCGTCACGCTTGGAGCTGCCCCATTTGAGAGATGTTCTGCCTGAGCCTGTTAAGCTCACGAGGGCTCAAGTCCTGGCTTTGAATTTTGTCTCAGGGCTGCAAAAAGCAGCACTCCTGTTCCCAAACTTTTTTTAAACGCTGGTTTTCCTACTCCTAAGTGGTGCAACCTGTGTTTAAACAGTCAGTGGGGTTTAAATGCATTAGCATACAACAAATAAAAGGGCACTTCAGAGAAAGCCTTCCAATGAATTAATAATCACCTCAGCTCTGTGGAGATTGCCTTAAAAGCTGCTCTCCTTTGATCTGGCCTGGATTAGCCTCTGAAAGGATTTAGCCATGAGAGCGTTGTTCAGCATAATGAAGGTGTTAAACTAGGAGGTGGAGAGGCCAGTCACTTTAGCCTCCCCTGAATTATAGATGAAGCTCTCCGGGATGGAGGAGGCAGGCCTAAATTAAAACGTTGCTCCAGAAGACGGAGCTGAGAGCCACCGGAGCATAAAAAGCCTCCGTGGAGTCTCTGTGGAGCTGCCAGGTCCCAAATTATTCAAGCCACTAACCTTAACCGGTTTTTGATGGCTCACTCAGTCAAAGACCATCAGACGGGTGCAAAGCTGGCAAGAGGGGGAAATGCCGCCTTCTACCGGCTTGCGTGAGCGCAGGGCTATTATCTGGCTGCAGCCGTGACTCGCTTGCTTTCTTCCCTTGCAACAAGCTGGCTACTTGCTGAGCTGCATACCACCGTCCTTTCACTCCAAAACACCGGGTCCCTTTGAAGTCACTGAGCTGTAATCGCTTTATAATTAGAAAAGTGCCTGGCTTGGGCCCCTGAGCAAGGAGGAATCTGGATTTTTTTGCTGGAGTGTATAGTAGCTTCTTCACACACTCATCTGTTTGCTTCTGATATAGCACAGCACATGGGCACATCTACACGTGCACCTCCGTGTGCATTAGCCTATTGTAATGCACAGTAAAGCGTCACTTAAAAAAAACCCGTGCTATTTAGTTAACGTGCATGAAGCGTCACTTATAGGGCATATCTACATGTGCCTTAACGTGCTTTAGTTAACGCGCATTAGATCTGGCACCTCCATGGTGAGGTACTAGGAAAACGTGTCTTTAATGCACATTAACTAAAGAGCACGGTTTTTGGGTGACACTTTAATGCTCATTAAAATAGGCTAATATGCCTTAAAGCGCATGTGTAGATGTGCCCAATAGCTGTGTTCTTTAGTTAATGTGCATTAAGACAGGCTAATGTGAATTTTCTTAGTACCCCACAATGGAGGTATTAGATTTAATGCGTACTAACTAAAGCGCATCAGTGCATGTGTAGATGCGCCTACAGAGTAGTTTTCTATCCATATGTACCCAGTTGCATATATTATATATATATATAAATAATCATTGCATATACACGTAAAAAGTATGCACTTATTTTTTTATGCAAACACGCACATTTGTACACATGGCTACACACAAACATACCCTCACACCGAGCGTGAACATAAACAGAATCAACACCTTCAGTTTTTAAGGACTGTGGCTGGCTGTGGAGGATGACCATTATTCTCCGTGGCGGTCATAGGAATTAGCATCTTTGAGGAATATGGCTCTAGAAAGTAGTTTCGTGTGCAGCCGTAATAGCAAACACTTGTGTTCGGTAAATGAGTTCCAGTATTTGTCTACCAAGATCCGCAGTTGGAGAGTCTACGAGCTGGGGATGTTAAAGGCAAGACGGGTAAAAAAAATGGGCCATTTAGAAGAGCTCTTTTTTGAGACAGGTGTGGTCTGTCTGTCTCTGATCCTCTCCGCAGACTCTTTCCTCCGGATCATAAGACCACACAGTCTTCCCTGTAATAAAATAACACGTCTAGACTCTCACCTAGTTCTGTTCCTACCAGGAGGAGTTCAGTCAAGTTTGCAATGTATTTGCAGCACAGAAGAATTAATTTCTGTAAAGAGGGGTGCAGAGAAGTGCGTCTTTGTGTCGCTCACCTTCCTTCCTTCTCACGTCCTTGTCGTGACCAGGTGTTCAGCAGACTTCGCAGATTCATTGCAATCTGATGGCCATGCCATAAGTGCATCTGCTATGGCCTCAAACATGCGATCTCTGGCCTGTCTTTATTCTGATCATTAAAAAAAGAAATCTAAAGAATGGGTCACCCTCTCTGAATATGCAACTGGGGTGTTATGCTAAGCTAATCTTGAGCATAAGGAAAGACATAAGAGCACTTGTTTCTCTGTGGAGACCGACAGTTAACTTTTCATGAAACCTAAGCTTTCGATTGTGCTTTGTAGTTGAACATTTTGTACAGAGAAAGACCAAGAGGCAGCAATTTGTTTCCGATCAAACATGTGACACAGAAAGTTACCATGACATTGGGCAATAGCCAGCTCTGGGCTGCCTTGCTGTGGGGAGAGGAACGATGGGATATCTTACCCAGGCTAAAACAGACTTTTCTTTGTTGGGGCCTAGGAGCGGGAATGGCTCGGGCCGATACAACGAGGGGTGTGGGTTTGTATTGGTTTGGGCCAAGCGCGTGGCGTTTCTCGTGTTTTACAGTAAACCACAGCTGGTTGTTTGCTCCGAGGTGCAAAGTCCCAGGGGCCACGGACCCCAGGGCGCGAATGCAGCAAGGGTCAGGATGTGCGTTCTTGTCCAGAGCCCGGACCTTGCCAACATGCATGGGTCTACGCGTTGGCCATTGCCAGGGCTGGAAATTTCAACGAAAGAATAAGATGCAGGGATAACTAGTATTGTAACACCTGCTTCACCTCATCAGGGGGATACGTGTTGCATATTGCCAGTCCGCCATCTGCTAAAGGAGGGCTAGGTGCTGTTTGCAGAACCATACTCGCCTCGTCCAAAAACTTCCCAGATACTTTGAAGGTGGCTTTGTGCAGCTCACCTTCCTGCAGTTCACCTGAGCGTGCCAGGCTTTCCACCTGGCCAGTCAGCGATCGCTGGATTGCAATCCAGTGTCGCGATCCGCTGGATTGCAAGCAGCAAAGAACCAAGACACAGTAGAAATATCAGGCTGTGCTGGGATCACTGCAATCAGCAGCTTTCTACAAATAGCCCCGTTAATTTGCTGCTGCTTAGCACTGAAGGCCGCTCTGTAGGCACATCACTGGCTGGTGGAAACCCGTCCAACTCGTCTCTCCCCTCTCTTGAAACTCTTAACTCTAATTAGAGCGCTGCCTACAAGAGCAAGGCAGGGTCAGGACCCCGGCGTGCTGAGCACATGTAGTAAGGAGACAGCGTGTGCCCCCTGCAAACAGCCCTCGGATGCCCGCTACAGTTCAGATGATCCTAGGAGGCCGAGCGGCAGCGAATAAATTATTCCCCTTGTGCTAGCTGGGAAAGGTCAGGAGTGAAAGGTGTTCCTAGGAGAGTCCAAACTCTTGCTAGACTGTCACTGCACTTAAACCTGTCCGCAGCTACTCTTCGGGGAATACAGGGGACCTTCTGTTACTCAACAAGCCGATTTCCCAGCACTGCCGCAAACCTGCTTTTTTTGTGTGCGAGATGGCGCATTCCGGTTCCCGCTGTCATCACTATTAAATGCGAATACAGATAAAAGTATTTCATTTCAGGAGGGGAAGGCGTGCATACTTCAGGCCCTTAATCTCTGTGCAGTTCAGATTTCCAGTGCCTTACACTGGACACTTCATCAGATACAGCCACGCTAATTGTGTTCTTTCTTTTTGCCTTTTCTTTCTGTTTATCTGGCACTGGATGTTTGGAAACTGCAGCACTATGTTTGGAAACAAGATCAAGTCAGTGGCCAAGAAAGCGTTCTCGGGCTTGGAGGCCCTGGAGCACCTGTGAGTAACCTACCATGCTTTGCATCTTGGAAAAGGGCCTGCCAAAAGTGGCTGCTTGAGAGGTCTGCTAGCAATTTAATAGCGTCTTTGTAAACCGAGAAGCCAGTCCATTTGTGGGGGGCCAGCTGCTTCCTTCTCATTATAAGTCAGCTTCAACTTTGGCCTTTTTTTGTGCCAGGAACAAAGTTATAGAACATATGGCAAATTTGCATGCTCTTTAATTTTTTGATTTGGACCGGGATAAATATCTCCTCGACTCGCACATTGCTGCTCTGCAGGCTGTTTGCAGCTCAGCCGTGCTTCAAGCCCGGCCCTTGCTCTCCTAGCCAATGCTCCTCCAACCGTTCCCGCTGACACATGTTGGAGTTGGCCAGCGCGTGAGGCAGAAACGATTCGTCCCATTCAGCAGAATTGCTCTGGAGCTATTTGCAGGACGCGGAGTTGGCCGCAGCTAAGCCATTCTTTGCTGCTGCTCCCAGGGCCGGCGTCTGCAGCAGCGATTCATCTTTAGTTCCCTGCGTTTGAATTAAGCCACTGGGGCTCTGTCTGGCTTGCAGCGAGTTGCTCACGTTGACCACGGATACACAGCAAACAGGGCAGAAGTTGTGCGCGCACACATACGTGCATGTATTTCCGAGCTGTTGTAAGAGCCTCCGTCCTGGGTACAGCTGCCCTGAGATTTATACTTGAGGCAGGATGAATGCCCATCTGTTTTCACGCTTTAATGATGCAGCAGAGTTCCCAAATTTGGCACAATCCCCGTTCAGGGGACAAGTGAATTTTTCAGTTAAATATTTACTAACTTTTGCAGAGGGAAACATTTGCAAGTACTCCCTTTTGGAAGTCTGCCCTGTTTTCCTCACATTACTTAGGATTAAGAGCCATGCCTTCACCCCCTACAAAGACATGTTCTAATAATGCTTTGGACATGTGCTGCTTTCTGAGCATTTGTATAAATAAATCAAGCAAATGCAGTGCTCTTATTCAGGAGGACTGTTTGGGAGGTAGTGGAAGCACTTTACCACTTCAGTCTGCTAAAGATTAGTCCTTGACCAGGGAAGACAGTGGGAGTTCAGGGTTGTTCAGGATAAGGGGGCTGCCTGGGCTGTGGGTGGTGCAGGTGGTTACAGCGAGAGGATGGGGCACTCGTCGTTTGGCAGGATTTGCTTGCCCATTTTGTTGCTTCTCGCTCTTGTCCATCATCGACTCATAGTCAACAGTGGTCCATGCAACCTTTGGCCGTGATCTCCACAGGGTTCATAGATGCGAGGGTCGGAAGGGACCTCAATGGATCATCGAGTCCGACCCCCCTGCCAGTGGCAGCGGTTATGAGATTTAATACAGGCTGGAGGTTTACTTCCTTAATAAGAACCTACCATACTATCGAGTGCTGTTGCACACCTCGATGTGGAGAAAGGACAGTGGCTTCTGGAGGTCACCACAGCATTATTCATGGGTAAAATGCCCTTGGTTTTGTTCTGCAGGAACCTCGGGGATAACGCCATCAGGTCCATCCAAGCGGACGCTTTTGCCAGGATGAAGAACCTGAAGCAGCTGTAAGTAACTGCGCCATGTGTGCTACTAAAGTGGCTGCAAGCTTTCTCACGCTGGTGGGTTGGTCACGTGGACAACACGCCACTGGAAACAATCTAAATCCCCTCCATCTCGTCCTCTGCCCCCAGCCTCCCCTACTGGTTATTTTTACACGAGAGCAGATGTCCTGGGCACATTGCACGCTCGGTAGCGACTGAAATTAGATCGTCGGAACAGGTTCTTCCACGGGGTTCGAATCCGTGCAATTATGATTCATCTCCGGTCGGGAAATCCAGCCGCTCCCCGGGGGTCTGTGACCTATTTAATTCCCAGCAGACCACCTGCCTCTCAGTTACAGCCATGTTTAGAGCCTGCCTGCTGCACTGGCATTTGGCGATAAGCACGGTTCGAACATGATCTGTGCGTCATCTCGCCCCATGGGTGCGCAAATATGAACGTTATCAGAGTGGCCACGGCTCTCCTGGGTCATCAGATGCTCTGGTAACAGTCAGTCTTCAGTCTAGTGTCTGGGCACATTCAAGTGGTGCTGGATGTGGGACAGGAGTTCGCGAGCCTGTCGCTGAAAAGCGATGGTGTCAACATCAAATTCCTGCCTGCGGGGCTGGGAACCGAAGGGACTCGGACGTTCAGTGTTATCTGCAGCTAAAGCCCCAGGACAGCGTTTTTGCAACTCTCCGTGCTGCCCATGAACGCTGCGTACTTCGGAGTCTGCTCAGTCATTTCATGCTTGCACTGGCCCTTGATGCAGCATAGGGAGGAAGCCTTTGATTTATGAGAGGTCAGCCCCCAGGGAGCTCGCTTCCGTGAACGCTGCCGTGCAGCGGGGAAGTCAGCGCTGACACTTGGCTGGGATGGTTTAGACTGGGAAAATCCTGCCTTAAACAGGGAGCTGGACTAGACAGCCTCCTGAGGTCCCTTCCAGCCCTACTTTTCTGTGATTCTAGTCACCTTTCCATGTCCTGAAGATTTCATGACCTCAGCTTGACTTTGGGTATTAATGCTTTCAGTCAAGCTTGGCTGGGCTCTCCACTGATAGCAAGGTCTTTAAAGGAAATGTCTTTTCCCCCAAATTGCTTTTACAACCGCTGCAGAGGTGCACCTGAAGCTTTTATAGTCGCTTTTGCAGGCGGTACCTCAGAAGTCCGCGAGCCAGCTTAAAGGGCCAGTTTTTCTCCAGGTTATAATGGCGACACCAATGGAGAATTTGGCCCTGAATATTTCAAAAAAAAAAAAAAATCATGTATGTAATCTGTTATACCTGCATGGTGCATGAAGAGCAGGTTTAGCTGTACTGCAGTCATTACATAGTTTGAAGGCGCACCCGATAGATAGCCGAGAGCCCACCTTCGATGGTTTCAGGTCACTGATGCTGGTAGATAAGTATCCTTGGCCTTCCCAACAGCTGTGCACTTAGCAGCCACTAAGATGGGAGTAGGATGATGATAAATGTGTGTGGTGGGGGGGTGGCATTTGTTTTAAATTAGTTGCTGTTTCTGTTGGACCGCCACAAAAAAATGCACACCCCATACACACTTATAGAGCTGAACGTCCTCTCCTGAAGTCCTCAGCAGAGCTGGTGCACATACAGACGTATTCCCCAACCAAAAGGAAGGGAGGTGCATGTCCAGTCTGGCTGCCCTAGCGCTCACAGTGGCTCCGGCTTGGTACATAACTAATGAATGACATTGGAGAGTCCTCAAATGAAACCTTAAATTGCATCATGCGGTGGAGATGTTCAGTGTCACGGGGAAGGGGAGAAGGAGCAGGCGCGGTCATTGGAGATGCAGGTTGGACACCCGGACTCATGGGTTCCAGGCTTGAGCCTGCCATGGACGTGCACCACCTTCGTGGTGCCTGTGTGGGCCGAGTACAGCTCATTGATGGGATGTCAGGGCTCTTGCAAGACTTATAGTGAGTCTTTATAAAGGGCTGGGAGGAACAGAGTGCTACGCAGCTGTGACACGTTTAGCTCTGTCAGCTTGGTTCCCAGACGACACCGCTGCAGACCCTTTTCCATCTGCCTGGCTGGGAGAGAGGGAGGGAGGGATACGAGCGGCTTGGAGACCCGGCGAGCTTTCCAGAGCCTCTCTCACGAGCCTCTTTGGTTTCTCCTTTCCTCTCCGCAGCCACATAAACAGCGACAGCTTCCTGTGCGACTGCCAACTCAAGTGGCTGCCGCAGTGGTTAGCGGAGAAGGAGCTGCAGCCCTTTGTGGTGGCGACCTGCGCCCACCCGGAGTCACTGAAAAGCCAAAGCATTTTTGCCGTGCAGCCGGAGAGTTTTGTGTGTGGTAAGTCCCGCCCACGTGTTTTGCGGTCATGCGAAGAGGACGCTTACTGGCTTTCGCCGCTAGCATGTTATTATGAGAGGGCTTCTCTGTTTGTAGGTTTTCCAAAGTGATCAAAACAAACCCAAGCCTGCCTTTTAAAACTTCATCGCTGGCTATGATTTATTTCCCACCAAAGCCACACATTGCACTCTCTGCAGCCAGGCTATGGCTTACCCGACGCTCCAGGCACTCAACCAGAAGGGGCCAATCCTGGCTTCAGCTTCAGCTTCAGATCAGGGTGCTCACTTGCAGGAAGACTTCGTTGGCCCTGGTGCTTTCGGATGGCCACGATTTCAGGGGTTAATTTGCTGGTGATGTGATAGCATTTGGGGCTGGGAACGTTGAGCTCATTTGTCTAAGAACAGGAAGTTAAAACAGGGGCAGAGGGGGTTTTTTGAGTAGACGCCTCTTCGGTGGGCCACTACGCAGCATCAAATGGAGCAGCCGACGGCTGGACCTGCATTCATGTGTTTCTGGGGTTTTGCTTTCCTTTGGAGCACGAGCTATCGCTCTCTTTTCAGCCAAACGCCCGCTGCTGCCACCGCTGCAGCCAAGTGCGACTGCAAACCCGCTTGCTAAATGCAGACCAGCTGAAAATACAGGCCCGCCACACACGTGCAGACACACACCTTGCTTTTGCATGGGAACAGTTAAAAGTTTGGATCAGAAATGTAGTTCTGGGGTGAGGAGCCAGAGTCGCTCTGTTCGTGCCTGCCTTGGTTGAAGGAGGCCTGATTCCTTCTCTCTGTGCATTGTTAACTGATGTGGATTTCCAAGCTGTCCCACTGCTTTGCACCTCGCTGTCTCATGGAGAGCGGAGCAGCTCCCGAGATTTCCCTTTCCTCTGCTGAAGAGCAGCACTTGCATAAGAACAAGAGCTGCCATTGACTGGATCAGACCACAGGTCCGCCTTGCCCGCTCTCCGGTGCCACGCAGTAGATGCTGAAAGGGAGCGTGAACGGGGTCTGCCCTGCATTTTTTTCCACTGTTCCTATTCCTCTTGCAGCCACTTGCCCATCTCACGTATGAAAGGTCCCCACCACCTATTGCAGAGCACGGATGCACACACGTGTGTTTGCAGTGTCAGGCCTGGCCTACTTCAGCACAGGCCTGGGGGGCTGCTATTGAGGTGTCTGCGGAGACTCTACCCCCCATGGCACGCCAGCGCAGAACTGGAAACTCGGCGTTTCCAACCAAAGGAAAGCTTGGCCTCTCCGATGGCTGCCAAAGCCTCCAGCCACCAGTGCTCCCCAGTTCCTGAGACATGGCTGCTTAATTAAATGTTAATCAGAGATCAAATTACACTCTCTGGATAAATCCAGTATTAGAAATGGTTTGGATCGCTGCTAAAACCAACAGTCTTCCAGGGCTGAGAAGGCATTTAGAAAGGTCTCTGCTTTGGACGAGTGACAGACAAATACAGCTGCTGCTCGTAGACATGTTGTGCCTTGATCCCTTTGCTTGTGAGCAGTTGTCCTTAGGGATGTCAGCCACAACAATTGCTTTAACCCCTGCCCCGGCGCACCCAGCACCACTCATTTCCGGTGAAGGCAAAGAGTTTAGGGGTGGGATTGCACGCAGCAACTGTTCAGATATGTCCTCGTGGCTTGATTTTACACAGCATGGACCATGTGGTACGAGTAGGATTGAAGATTTTGTATGATAAGTGCTCTGAGAGGCTCCTGCCAGGGATCAGTCCCTCGTTGTGCTGAACCCAGTAGACGCGTACATATAATAAAACTATGGAGCCAACTCCCAGAAGCATATACACTAGGCTACTGCCTGTAGCCATTTTCTTTCCCCATCACCAGTGGCTGTGTAGAAATGCTACTGCCTCCCATTCCAGCTCCCATATTTTCCCGCATACAATACACTCCTGAATAAGATACGCATCTTGCATTTGAAAGGCAGAATGAAGGGACAAAGATACTACCTTGAAGATATTGGTATGGGGCAGTAAGTAACTGAGTAGCAGCAGGAAGGGAGCCCAGCGTGGTCCCTGAGCTGTTTCCTATGGAGTACTTTCAGCTTTGTTTTTGCTTTCCTCTAGTAGAGGCATAAGTTTGCAGAAACTAGTGTTACTTTATTTCCCCACTTACAACACGCACAAGCTTATGGGCGGGGGGGAGGGAGAGAAGGTATGTGTTGTAGGCAAGAAGATATGGGATTCATTATTGATCAAATCAATGCTGCATCACCTGCAAACAGTGCTTAGGCGGTATTTTTTATATGATGGGAATCGCAAGAATTTGCGACCGAGCCAGCGAGGGCTCCCAGCCTGCAACTGTAACTCTCGTATTGGTTTTCAGATGATTTCCCCAAGCCCCAGATTATCATTCAGCCGGAGACGACAGTCGCCGTCTTGGGCAAGGACATCCGCTTCACCTGCTTGGCTGCCAGCAGCAGCAGCTCCCCCATGACATTTGCCTGGAAGAAGGACAACGAGATTCTGCGCAACGCCGAGATCGAGAACTTCGCGCACGTGCGGGCCAAGGATGGCGAGGTGATGGAGTACACCACCATCCTGCACCTCCGGCACGTCACCTTCACCCACGAGGGACGCTACCAGTGCATCATCACTAACCACTTTGGCTCCACCTACTCAAGCAAGGCCCGTCTCACTGTGAACGGTAAGGGGGAAGCTCAATTCACCTTCCTTCCCTGTAGGTAACTCTTTTGTCCAGCCCTACATATGCCACTGGACTCTGGGAGGGCCTGAGCCATAAGCACACAGGAGCCTTGCCATAGCCCCAATCCAGGCAAGTCTTTCAATGCATTCTTAATCTCAGAGTCTGAAGCAGGAGCCGTTCCATTAGCTGCAATCATCTTCCATGCTTGCTTTTCACCACTTAGCCTTTGGGAATGGAAATATAAAAGGTGTAGGCAGAAGAAACGGCTTGGATAAAAATTTCCTTTGGTTTTTGTTTCATCCCTGTCCAGGTCAAGCCTGGAAGATGACTAGTTTTCTCTCGAGCTCTGAAGCGTGGGTTGAAAGGGGGCTGGTTTCAGCCATAGTGGAGCCATAGACATGCATAGTGCCCTCTCACAGGAGCTTATAGGTGGATGGCGAGAGAAGGTGATACTCTCTTGCATGTAGATAATTGCTTTATCCATCTTCAGGACATCAGGGGGGTTTGTGTAGGAGCATCAGGAAGACTGGTGCCATCAGGAAGGCTGTTCCCGTTTCCTTAGGGCTGTTCCTTACCTTCCTCTGCCTTTACCCTTACAGTGTTGCCTTCGTTTATCAAAACTCCCCATGACATCACGAGCCGCACAGGGATGACCGCTCGGCTGGAGTGTGCGGCTGAAGGACACCCCACCCCACAAATAGCCTGGCAGAAAGATGGCGGCACCGACTTCCCCGCAGCCCGGGAGCGCCGCATGCACGTCATGCCAGATGACGACGTCTTCTTCATCACGGACGTGAAGATAGAGGACATGGGTGTCTACAGCTGCACGGCACAGAACTCGGCGGGCTCCGTGTTGGCCAACGCCACCCTGACCGTGCTGGGTAAGCAGCTCTTGTGCTCTTGGGACAAAGCAGGCAGAAGTACCGCTTTGAACTCCTGATATGGGACTACTTGGTTCTTAAGAAGGGTGATTGCACCCAAAGGCTTGCTAAGAACTTTTTTTCCCAACTACTCAGCTGGCCTAATGAAAGATATCACATCTAGTCAAAGAACCTAGGACGCCGTAGACACCCAGATAGGACCATGTGGTCATGCTGAAACACTGGGGTTGGGATGATGCTGACCCATTGTGGCAGGCTACTTAAAAGGCCCAGGTACCTGTAAAAATTAGTTCTGCTTTTTTGGAAGTCAGTCCTTTTATCAGGGGAAACTCTTTAGGCCAGGCTGTTTGCACCCAAGAAGAACATCTGTAGTAGGAGAGGAAGCTCTTGGCCATGGGGTATTATGGGTATAGGAAAGCCATTACTCCATGTCCTAATCAAAGGATAACTGGCTTATGTAATAGTCTTCTTTAGGATGTAGGAAGAGAACTGCAGCAGAACTGGCAGTCAAATCTGTGCTGAATTGTATCATTTTCAATTATGTATGGTAGCTTTAGAGTATCATCTTGTTAGTAACCCCTGGACGCTAATATCTGCATGTGATTCCCCCTCCAGAGACTCCATCCTTGGTTCATCCACTGGAAGACCATGTTGCATCTGTGGGTGAAACTGTGGCCCTCCAGTGCAAAGCCACGGGCAGCCCGCCTCCACGCATTACCTGGCTGAAGGGTGACCAGCCTCTGGTAGTGACAGAAAGGCATCACTTCACCCCTGGCAACCAGCTCTTGATTGTTCGCAATGTCATCCTGGAGGATGCTGGGAAATACACCTGTGAAATGTCCAACACCCTGGGGACCGAACGGGCTCACAGCCACGTGAGCATCTTGCAGTCTCTTGGCTGCAGGAAGGACAGGACCACGGTGGGCATCATCACCATTGCCGTGGTATGCAGCATCGTGCTGACCTCTTTGGTCTGGGTGTGCATCATTTACCAAACGAGGAAGAAGAGCGAAGAATACAGTGTCACCAACACAGGTAGGCTCCGGGTGGGGCTGAGGACCTTTGCATGGATGAACATTGCCCTGAGGTTGGACTGCGATGATAGGAGACATCACTTCTCCTTCAAACATTTGCTCCGTCCCTGCTGCTCCACAGGCTACGTGGGGCCAGAGCAGCTATGGTCACTCCCTGCTGCAAAATGCTCGGGGCTGTGCTTCCCAGCTTGGCTGGTTCACTGCAGCGGTCTGACTCACAGCCCTTACCCTCTGTGGTGCCTTTGACCATACAACAGCGACGATCGCTGTCCAGAGTAACCCTGCATTGCCAGGAATCAACACGTCTAACACCCTGACCTGCCAGTGGAAAGTCCTGTTTGACATTGGCAACTGGATGCTATCTTCTCCCCCTGTCCACGTCACGCCTACGGCGAGGCTGGTCTTTGGAGCAGAGGGCAGTGGGCATGATGTTTCTTGGCCCCTCTTGGCCTTCCTACAAACACTGCCTTGGTGCCAGAGTCCTGGTGTCAAAAGGAGGGAAGGGCTTTACCGATGGCAGGAGAAGGATTCAGGGTAACCCGAGCCCCGGGCTGGCCCTCAGACCACTTCCTGCACTGCGTGAGGCCTCTGAACCGAGGTTGTTGGATGCACCTGTCCATTAGCTCACTGCCCCTCTGGGATTTGCTGTCCCAGGAACAGGTGCAATAGGCTTAGGGCACAGCTAGCGGGGAAAGACTGATACAGTGCTGTAAGCACGGTCACGTCTTTCACATGGAAAAACTCTGGGCTGCTGCAGCCCTTGTCCCTCACCCTTTCTGAATGATGGCTTTTCAGATGGTTATAGGGCCAAGTTTGCAAAGTTAGGGGTTCAGCGCCCAGTAGACTTGAGCTGTCCTGCGGCAGAGGTGGTGGGGGTGGGACTGGCAAGAGGTACAGCAGCTCTTGGTATAACCCAGGGCAGTCCAAGGGCTGTATTTCCCCCTATGGCTCCTGCCTTTGCTGTTGGGGAGGTGAGAAGGCGTTTGGAAAGCAAGACCAGCTTGGGGTAGATACTAAACGTGTTAAGCCTGTAGCCTAACTTCACAGCAGACAGAAAGTAGCATTTTTTAGCTTTCTGGGCGTTTCCCCACCCCTAATCTATGGTGGCCTTAGAAGAACTATAATAAAGTTTCTAGGGTTTCGGTAGTTAGGACTTCGGTCTTTTCTCTCTCCCAAAAGTATCTGTTCTAACGCATCTGCTCTGGGTGGGAGCAGTGAACCCACCTTTATCTACAGTTCAGAAAGCAATGACATTTGGTATTCTCCAGATTCCCCTCTGACCTGTAAGAGGGGTCTAGGCAGGCACGTTTCGACCCGCTGGCTGGGGCTGCTCTTGGCTGGCTTCCTGCGGCCGAGCAGACTGCTGCGCTCTCTCCATGTTCTTGGAAAGTTCTTGGATGGCATTTTCCAAAGCACCTAAATTACATGGAAACTTCAGTCCCTGTTTTCCATGGAGCAGGATTTCCACAAGTCACCAGCCTAAATGCAGGGGGGGACTTAAAGCCACTTTCCAGGGGCCCGGATTTCAGGGGCTGGGCTTGGTCGCACGACACCCAGGCATCGGAGAGTGCACAAGTTGCTCACGTAAGCTGCTGCTTGAGACTCTCTGAAAGTCACTGGGCCTCCCAGCATAGCCGTCCCTTTTTAAAAGTTCAGGCACTTCAAGTTCGAGGTGCTTGAAGCCTCATCCCCTTGCATGGTAGTATTGGAGCTTCATCACTGTTTGCACCTCTCATTCCAGATGAGACTATTGTGCCACCAGACGTGCCAAGCTACCTGTCTTCCCAAGGGACACTCTCAGACAGACAAGAAGTGGTTGTTCGAGTGGATAACAGCCAACAGCCTAACGGGCACATAGAGAGCAACGGTATGAATTGGGGTCTAATTTTATTTTTGGATGTGACAAGGGGTAGTTATCCTCTTAGCACCAGCTACTCTTCTGTTTGGGGCACGACTGGAGGGAAAGATCTGTGCAACTGGAAGCTCTACTGCTGCATTGTATTTAGGGCACAGGCAGGAACAGGTCTCTTTGTCAGCCCAGAAGATGCACCTTTGCCAGCAGTAACATCACTCGTCTGAGCAAATTATTGCATATCTGTTCAGTCTTCAGGCTCCAATGAGTAGTTTTGCCTAGTTCAAGTTCAGTTCTTTGGCACCAGAATTTCCTCACACCTCTTTTCTAATTCAGAACCCATTAGCACTGCCAAACCTTAGCTTTGGGCACACACCAACCACACTTTGGGATGGGATGGGATGGGATGGGATGGGTAAACTTTCTGCACTGTGTTTCTAAAATATTTACTGCTTGAAGGATGGATTCAAAATTATCTGGCACTTCCGCCTTTGCAGCACGATCAAAAGACTAATAAATTTGCCGATTGAGAATGCAGACGGTTGTAATCCTGAGCCAGCTGGTTGGTTTGTTATAGGCATGTGTCAGACTGATGCTGGAAGGTGTCCAGATGTTGAAGCTCCCACTGTCGGGTGTAGACAGCCAAAGCTATGTATAGGCTACAATAAAGATACTTGGAAGCCTGAAGACACGGCTGAGGGAACGCCGGTTCCAGATAAGACAGGTACATAACTCATTAATCTGAAAAGGTGTTTCATGTTGGTACAGATTCAAAGAGCATGCGAGTGAAAGGGCTGAGGCTGGAAACGATGCTATCCGCCTGTACAGTTTTTGGGTGCAGATACAGCAAATTCAGTCCCTGTCTTCTTTCTTCCTGTGTAGAATCACAAATGTTCAACTTTAAACAACCTCCCCCCAAAGGCAGATTGCAGCTAGCGAGAGCCACCAACACAGCTGGATTAGTCTTTTTGTGCTAGTCCCAACATGGGAGAGCAGTTGCCGAGTGCGGGTGTTAGAAATTGTCATCCGAGGCAAATAAAGGGACTGGCGATGAAGCAGATTTCTTTAACTCATCAACACTGAGTAGTAGTTTCACCCTCAACCTCACTGCTAATTTCTATGGGTTTTCCAGTTACTTTTGCTTTTTTTTTTAATGTTTTGTGTATTCCCTTGTGCTGCGAGCAAGACTCACGGGAACAGCAAAGGACCCTAAGCTTTCTTCTAGGGGAAATGGGGAAGCCAAGTGCTGGAAAGCTGTCAAAAGTGTAAAATAAATGAACTGGGATAAAAGTGGGGGGGAACATCGTTATCCCTTACTGCTGCTTTCATTGTGGTCATCCCAGAGGTTCCTCCTGCCAACGCTAAGCAAAGTGTTTGCAGATAGCAGTGTGATAGGATAGCGACACCTTTGAAACAGCCCCAAGGTAACCTCTCTTCTGTTGGCAGCTGTTACAGACCATTTCCATCACCTGTTCGTTCCCTTATTGGTAAGCTGTGACAGGAAATTAAAAAAAGGCTATTTCTGGCTTCAGTGGAAGTAAGTGCACGACTCAGAAAGGAGAAGCAGCCCCAGCTGTTGGACCTGCTTTTAGCAACGCTGGGGCACCTGTAATACTCAGAAAAATGCAGGACTTGACTCAATTGGAGCGCAATCAAAGAAATATGCACATAGACTAGAGTGACATGACCCCGTGGCAGAGACGGCTGGTTGCCCTGCAGTGTCTTTCCTTGCCCCAACTTGTGAACACTATGGCAAAGCCTTCCGAGCTGCTGGTCTTCAATCCTCGCCTTTTCCTTTCCCTCCCCAAAGGGTACGGTCTGCCGGTTGTCTGCACTGACTGCAGCGGGAGCACGGATAGCATGAACGTCAGCATTTACCCCAGGGACCCAGAGCGCTATTCTCAGACCCTTCAGACTGCAAACAGCACCTATCCAAACGCCTTGAGCAGCAAGGAGCCAAGCAGGAGCCAAGGCCTCCTCCATCCTCCGCAGTGTAATGGGATTGCCAGCAGTAAGAGGACAGACACAGACAATTCCCGCTACCCCAGCAACCATGACAGGATGCCATCCTCCTGCCCAAGTAAAGAGCCGCCCACAGACAGACAAGGTATACACCCTGCTCAGGTCAAAAAGGCAGATCTAAACCAACAGGATGGGTGGGTCCTGCCACACCTTCAAATGCAAAGATGGATAGAAGCAGCTATAAAGTCGTTACACATTTCCAAGCACTAACTTTGTAGCTGGTTGGCTCTTTTTAATAGCTGGATACTCATTTTTATGGCGTGATAATTACTTTGCATGTGCGGCCAGTCTAAATCTATCACGAGATTAACCATATAATTGTATAATATATCTAATGTGTGACAGGGGCCTTAGTTACTGATGGTGGGTAACATGTTACAGAAGGAGGCCGTGTGCTGAGCATCCACTAATGCAGCCTTGCGCTGTCTTCCCTTGCTTGTAGGCTCCTCACTAGCTTCCGCGAAGCCTTCAGAGCTCCAGAGCCTGCACTCGAGCAGAGCTGTGCCTGCAGGCAGCTCCGCCAAGCAGTTCAACGGGAATCCCGAAATTTCGCCGACGATACTGGACTTGCCGAGCGAAGCCCAAGCTAAGCAAGCCCTTCTTTCCAATGGATACGGACCCAAATCGCGCGACTCCATTCATGACTTTAAGCCATCAAAAAGATCAACGGACTAAGCTACCAAGTGCAACCAAACAAACACGCTATTAATATATTTTTTTTTGCACAGAGTATATAGGTTACTTACATCTACCTCAACATTTGAACTGACAACCTCTCGGAGACAAAGGAAGACAAAATGAGGTATGAGAGATGAGCTTGCGTGGGGAACAAACTCCTATTCGAGCGGCGCCTGTGTGTACATAGCTTACAACTTCCGTGAGAAGTACTGAATCATTCAAAAGATTCCTTGCATGTGAAGCACATAAATGCAAGAGATTATTGTGTAAAGAGAAAAGAAGTATTTGATACAAATGTACATAAGAGTTTTCATATATATATATTATAAAAAAAAAAAAAATATATATATATATATATATCAAAGTATATATATATCTTTTACAGAGGCTATTTTAATCTTTAGTGCATGGGTAACTGAGTGAAATCTTACCATTTTTGGCAATATTGTTTTCAGTATCAGGTTGCTGTTAAATTTTTGTTCAGAGAAAATAATCCTGGGTGCCTTAATGCATAACCGCTGCCCCTCTTTTCAGTGGCAATTCCTGTAAATCAACTTACAGGAAACGAGCACAAAGTCCGTCGCCCTCTGGAAATCTTTTGCACTTAAAGAGGTTTAAATGGAGTTCTTCTGTTATTTCGAGGAAATGCTAAATAAGAGAATTAATAGCAAAAGCCAAATGATACATACACGTGCATCTACTGCAACCTGATTTTTCTCTTTTCTTTATGGGAGAACTTAAAAAAAAAAAAAAATGTATTCCATTCAGCATTGCATTGACGAGCTAAAGGTTAAATAGTCTGTGATAGTGCATTAAAACAGAACAACGCACAGGCATACAATACAATCCAGCTACAGCGTGCACTTCCTGCGCGCCGCCCCGCCACACACAAAAAAACCACAGATTATTAGTAGCCACAAAAGATATGCAGTAAAACTGGGGGCAGAGACAGGAGCAAACCTCAGAGCAAAGTCTTGCCTATACACACAGAAGTTGTCTTGCTTTAAGTCCTTTGGTGCAGGTGAAGTGCTCCAACTCTCGGTTGTTGCAGTGACAAACAGGTGCTCATGCTGGTACAGCTTCTCCCTGGTTAGGAAAGGGAGTAGGTTGTACCAGACTTTAGTCCCCCGTCCACCTGCATCTCATCTCGGGTGGTAGAGGTGTGACTGTTTGGCTCGAAAATAATCCCAGCCCCCCGCAGTGAGCCAGGCATTAAATACCGCAGTCTGGCAGTTCACAAACTAAAGCTTGCGTGACCCCAGGTATCAAAGAAAGGGGCTCGTGGGTCTGAGAGGTGCCGTCTTAACATGGGGTTACAGGGAGTAGGACTAAGAGACCCCAGTCACCGAAACTGCAGCTACTCACACGGCCCGACATCGCCGATACCCCTTTGCATGTGAGCATCTGCTTCGGGACAAAGATTTCTGTGCAGCAACCCCGAAATAGGCTGATTTAGAAGCAAGACTCTTAAGTTGATACTGGCTTAAAGGAACAACTTCCGAACGTCGCTATATGGTTTGGATGTTCGTTCGTGAATGGAAACCCCCCAACCCTGTGTCATTTATATCTTCAATTTGAAGCTTTTTATTTATAGAAAGGCTGCTTCTGTTGGTGTCGGTACCTGTGGAGGAACAACTTTTTTTTTTCCAGTTACTTGTAATGGAGTTCTGCTCATACAAGACTGCTACGTTTTGGTGATGACTACTCTTGGGAGAGCTTGTTTGGGGGGGTCGTTTTTACTTTCTTTTTTTTTTGTTTTCTTAGAAGCAACTCAATGGCCGTTTCGTTGGAACAAGATCCAACGAGCGTGCCACTTATGCCAGCTTAGTAGGTCACAGAAGGCATCGATAGCAGTCAGAGCAGGGAGATCACTTCAGTCTGCATTCAGGAAAGGCTTATAGCCTGTGCCAAAGACCTGTTAAATCAATGGGACTTCAGCACATGCGTTAGAGCCCGGGCCCAAGACGTCTGTCCATGCTGTCCCAAGTGACGACCAAACTATTCTGCCTTCCTTAGATGCCGACCTCCTCCCCAAACAGATCTGTGTCTGGAGTGACGGCAAAGATAAGTTTCACTGTAAATGACTTGACTGGCCTTTATGAAGCAAGGCATAATTAAGCCAGCTGCCTGTCTGTATCAGTTCCTAACTGTAGACCCATATGCACTTTGGGGCAGGTAGCTAATTATGTTGAGTGCCAACTTCTCGTTATTCATTGTCTCAGAGATGGATAATAGAAAAAAAAAAAACCAATCAATAAACCCAGCGTATTTTTCCTCCCAAGCAAAGAAAAATATGCTTTTAGAACTAACTCGAATGGTGAAAGTAGCAGCGAACGTTACTGGGATATCCCCACGCAGCATGGGAAAGATTTAACTAACTAACTTTGCTGGCAGAAACGTCATCACCATTGCAAGCGTTTAAGCACATTTGCCACAATAACATTGGAGAATAATGTATTTTTTGATAACGTTAACTGTTTAATGTTATTACTTCCACTAAATATGTGAATCTGCTGCTTCTGAGAGGCAATGTGAAAGAGGAAGTATTACTTTTGTGTACAAAGTTATTTATTTATTAGAAAAAAAACCATTTGGTACAATGTTGTACATTGAAAAACATGTAAAATATTGAAGTGTCTAACAAATGGCATTGAAGTGTCTTTAATAAAGGTTCATTTATAATATTACAGCTTTTCTGTTCTTGTTGAGAGTGAGCTTTGGAGAGATCCGGTTGAAAAAAAAAAAAATCAATAAATAAAGAGTCTAACCAGTCGCTACCCTCTTTTCTGCTCGTTTCTACTGCAAATGCATCCAAAGGATTAGGAAATAACTTCATCAAAAAACACCCAGCTTATTGGGTTAAACCCAAGAGATGTAATTCTGTATGATGAACCAAAAGAGGTACCAGCAATAGCATGTGGAGTGGGAGAGCTCAGGATCGTATTGAGATGGTACAGTAAAGGTTTTATTTGAAATGTCTAATCCATCAATTGCTCAATTGGCTGGCCACAGTCAGCAGATGGGTGCACGAAAGAAAAACGAGGTCAGTAGGGAACAGAGTCGGTCGAGGACAACTTTGAACACCAATACTGTGCGTGGGCAGTTACACTGCATCGCTGCCCATGGTAGAGATGTTGGGTGCAGCAACAGAGGTAAAGCTGAGCCAAGTGTTGCATGGAGAGCAGGGATTTTATCTCTGTGCGTACCAAAAACTACAGTGTTTCTGCCCCACAACTGAAGTGGTAGTGTAAGAGTGATGATGCAGCTGTGATGGGCCAGAAATTATGCGAGAGGCCAGGATGTCTTCAGACATCTTTTACTGGACCACCTAACATCAACTTCCAAAGCTTTCTTGCGTATATAGTTGTGTGTTAGCTGAAGGGCTGGAGATGACGAGTCCCCCTGGGATGATGTTATGTTTCTTGCACAGGCTTAGGAAGACATCACTGTGTAGTCTTTTTTTTCTATAGCTTATGGATTTTCTCGTATAAGCAGCAGATTTCATTATCTTCCAAGTTAACTAGGCAGTGAGCCCAATAAAAGATATCACCCTAAGAAATCCATGTTTCCTGCAAATAAAGTGAATTTGAGGAGATAACACATTATTCTGAGCCAAAACGGCTCCTTTAGAAACTTCATGTCTGGGGTCAAGCTACTATTTTTGGGTTTTTTTGCCCAAATGAGTCCAGTTTTGGAATAATACTAATCTTCCCATCTTGTTGAAGCTCAGAGAGTTTTTTGCGTGGGCTACCACTGAAGGTTTCATTTTTAGGAAGACCCATTAGATCCCTTTTCCTCATTCTAGAAGTGAAAGTTTCACCTGTGCCAGATCAAGTAAGGTAGACCCTCTGGGCCCACAAAGTACCCCCGTCACCTGCCTTTGCAGGCGGGAGGAGAGTCAGCAGCATTACCTAGGCACAGGTGAGTCAGCATTACCTATAGGCACAGGTGAGTCAGCATTGCTCTGTGCAGACCTCTTTTGCATTAGCACGGTAAAGGCATGGGTTCAGTTAAGGGGTCACATTAAACATGGGTTAACAGTAAAGGGGGGGATCCACAAGGAACAGTGAAAACATGGGCTGATAATTAAGGGATCACAAACAAACCCATTCTGAGCTTCCCTAACCTGTTTTATACAGAAGATACGTACAGGGAGAGGACTTCCTGGGAGAGCAAACCATCGTAAGAGTAAGATGTGTGTGACCGCAGAGTGGCTGGATGGAGACCCCCTCCAATGCTGGACTAAGAGTCTCTGGCCCCAGTGACTTGTCACAGAGCCACCCAGTCCCTGAAGGGAGTGAGAGGCCTTTAGCCAAGAAGGCTGTTCTAAAAATACGTGGCTACCTGATAAATGGAGGGTAGGGCCCTGTGCTTGTTACCATCCGTCAGGTTCAATAATAGCCATTTCTTATCCCACCACAAAGTGCATTGGTGCAACTCCGCTAAAAAAAGAAGAAGCCTGATGTCTGGTCACATAATCACAGCATTTGGGGCTGGTTGCAATTCCAGTTTTAATCTGAGATTCGTTTCAGGATCAGTTTGCCTTCATGCAGGCGGCAGGTTCGTGGTGCTCAGATGACACAGCTCAGTAGACCATCAAGGCTTTAATAATCTAGCTCTACAGATTTACTCTTCACATTTAGACGGGGCAGGGGGAAGAAGAGATGACTCCCCTGTGACCCGTGCTGCCTCTCCCTCTTGAGCTGGCTGCTTGGGTACTCTCCCCTGTCCATGCACTGCATGGGATACCTGCTCATTACTTGCAGGCTCCATACCAAGTAGGCATCTTCCTGCAAAACCATGCTGTGGAAATACCTGCATTTGATGGAAATACATTTTCACGTTGCAAGGCACTAGCTGCTCTGCCTGGGGAAGCCCATGCCCAGTATAAGCTGCGTGTTCACATCCTGCCCTAACTCCCACTGGGACGACCCTGGTGCACACACAAAGCACTTTTGTGCAAGGGAGCTGCCACCCCGCCCCCGTTGCCAAAGTGGGGTAAACTACCTGGTGCTGAGCAGCCCCAGCACCCTGCCTTGTGCCACACCAAGTGGAGGCCACGTCATGCATTTTATGAGGGCCTCGCAGAGCCCAACCAGCTGACACAAAAATCGCGGTGTGAAAATGCTATTGATTGAACAGAAATGATGTCTTTGTGCCAAGGATTTCAGAGTCCCATGCCATCTGCCCAGGTGATCCACTAGCTGGTGGCAACAAGGGCTGCTTTCCCATAACAGACCCACACCGGGGTCCTTAGCAAAGAGGCCAGCAACACCCCATTTGGGTCCACCTGCCTTTTCACAGAGTCCCGGTTTCTCTGCGGTGGTGTCCCAATCCGGGGTTTAAAATCCAAATTTGCCCTGCGCTGCTAAGGGAAAGGCAGGCAAAAAAAGGGGGGAGTGCTGCAGGTCTTTTCCTAGAAAGCACTGTTGAACAGGGCTAGCTGTAAAATAATACAACCACAGCCTTTGCTGGAGAAGTGTGAGTTTAATGAGTCTAATGCCCTGGTTGCCACGCAAGAGAGCAGCTATGTGCACCTGGAGGGACAGACAGCGACTGAACGTTTCAAATCAGAAACGAGCAAATCCTAAGACGATCACTGCGCCAGGCCTTGCAAGTGCACCAGCTGCAGCTCTGTTCGCTCGTCCTGGGGCACAAAACCCGCACCAACGGGCTGAACCAGGTCTCGGCCAGTAATGAGACCTGGTTTTATCCTCTCGCAGCCGCGCTCTTGTGGTTAGCGAAACATTTTCCCTGTGTGAGCCCTAATAATGGCTTTTGCAGCCAAGGTAATTAGTTGTTTACTCCCCCATAACGTTACTTTTTTGGCACGGTTTTGTGATGACTTCACTGTTTTCACGGCAGGGACATTTCAAGTTAGGGAAATTGGATTATTGAAGGGTTTTTGTTGGGTTCCCTCCCACGCGAGAGGAAATATTGTTGGGGTGGTGGAGCAGCTGCTGGGACACATCAAGCAGCCTGGGATGGAGGATTGTTTGTACAAGGCCTCTTTGCTGAAAGCAGATCGGTGGATCCTCACGCTGGATCCCGGGCATCTCCGGGCCCGCTCAGAGCAGCAAGCTGCGTGCCTTGTCGTACGTCCCGAGGAAGATGAAGCCTCCCAGGCTGATGGCTGTCATTCGAGGGATGACACCTGCAAACAAGCTGAAAGGAGAATGGGAAAAGCTGTTTCCTGGGTAGCACTGGCTTGGCGGCAAGCACGTGTTAGGCTTCTGGCCAAGCCTCGCTCTGTTCAAGGGCAGCACGTGCAGGCTTTTACCTTGCTATCTTCTCCAGCAGGTTCATATCCTTTGTTGATTAAGGGCTGTGAAGTGCTCAACTATAGGAGGGATGCAACTGTGAAGTGCCCTCAGCCTGGTTCTGCAGGTGGGGAAACTGAGGCACAGTGCCGAAGGGCTGCAGCCTCAAAAGGGTTTAGATGCCTTCCTTGCATTACCTTGCCAAAAGCAGATCCCACATCCCTGAGCTGGGCATTAGGCCCTGCATTGTGCAAGATCCAAAACAGGTAGCATGCTGGGTGGGGAGCTGGGGGGACCCCCTCCACCCCAAGGTAATGCAGTCTCCAACAGCCCTGGCAAGTGCTCTAACAACTAGGCCACCTTCCCCTCCCTCCAGCTGCATCCTTGACAAACGCAGCTGCTGCTGCTGGGTTGTGTGCAGCGCCTGAGCCTGTCAGCGTGCGCTGGGCACGCTCGGAGAACCCCTTCTTAAATCGAGCCCTGCAGGGGACTGGCAGCCTGGCGTCTAGATCCCGACCAGACTCAGGCATGAACTTGGCAGCCAGCGGTTCGGTCTTGCCAAGTCAGAGGCAGCTCTGGGCATGCACAACAGCAAAACTTCAAGGGCAGAAAGTGAGGTGCCTCTGAAGTTCAGGTATCTCTACAAGTCAGCAGCTGCTGGGTATCAGCACTGCAGTTTGGACTCATGCATCCCAAGTGTCACATTGGGTACCTCGCTCCCTCTCCAGATCTGGGCCCAAACGCCTGATCCATGGTCACAAGCAGGAAAGGACCCCAGATCCCCTGAGCCTCGCACCGCAGACATCAGGGTGCCTTGTTCTCTACACTTCAGGCGATCCACCCCGCTTAAGGGCAGAGGACAGGCTGGAGGAACAGTAACCAGCTAAAGTCATGAAAACACGGTGGGTAAAAAAATGCCTGCTCAGCAGTGGAAGATAATGCCAACAAGAAGGGCTGGCCTGCAGTGTAATGGAGATGTTTAACTCAGGAGGACACAGGGCAGGTGGAGCATCCAAAACAATGCACGTCCCATAACCTGCCAGCATCCCAGGAAAACCCGGAGAGCTGTAAAGTGCTTTCTGTGACGACAACGTCCCTCTGAAGTTGATGCACCGGGCAGGACTAGGTGGGTTAAGATAAACGGCCAAGGGAACTTGCTCTACCACCACCACCAACACTGACTGGGATGACAAACCTCTGCAGCTCTCTGCACAAGTCAGGCTCTCCGAAGCTGGATGCAAGGACTGGCTAGACCCCAAATGACTCACCTGCATCCCTTGGCCCTACCCGTGCAGAGGGATGACCCCACACACTATGGGACTGATGTACGAGTCCCGTGCACTGGGTGAATTAGGCGGTTCGTTCTGCTCCCCTTAGCTTTCGTGAGCTGGTTTGGACCCTTCGTGTTAAACTAACCCAGCATTTCAATCGCACGTTTGGTCCCACCGCTATTACTTGACATGTCCTGTGTAATGCAGGGAGGCCGAAGGCATTTTAACTACCAGGGCCCCCCGAAGCAGCTCATGTTCCTGTAGCAATTTAGGAGCCTCCTCTCCTTTGTGCTCCTCGCTGCAAGTCAGACCCAGTGCCTGGGAAACCTCCGGCTGCACTTGCTTTGGTTTTTGTGGTAACGATCTTTGCTCAGGAGCCGGGAGCACGCAGGCAGATGGAAACATTTTATGGCTTCACTAGACAGCAATTGGGTCTATTACCATAATTATAGCTTTAAAAACAGAGTAATTTGTACGAGGCATGTAGTGACAAAGCACCAATAGGCTAAAGCCTGCGGCATGGCATTGTTCTCCAGCAACACCTCATCCTTCTCCCGTGGCAGTGCTTAGCCCTGTTACAGGAGCTCTGCAAATGTGCATCTGCAGCACGGGCGACTGCAGTCCCAGCGCTTATGTCTGCAGGGGCAGGGACCCCCAACCGCGGCATCCAGAAGCAGCATCTCCGATCTCGTTTCTTCCTGAGATCTCCTGCTCTTTTCTCTCCGCTTTTACCACTGGGGCCTTTCCCAATCCTGGTGATCAAGCTTCCACCGAATCCTCCCGACTGACCCTGGAGATCTGGGTATTATGCCCAGCCCTGTCACTGACTGTCCTGTCTCTTATTAAGCTCAGTTCTCGGGGCCCCACTTCCTATTTGACAAATAGGAACTCATTTCCTTTTAATATTTAGCTTAAGAGCTTTTCCAGGCAGTGGGGTGTTTGTACAGCACCTGGCACAGAGGGTCCTTGGTCCGGCCACTGCTCACTAGTAACAGTAAAAGACCGGGTGCAAGGGGCGCTAATGTTGCAGGATAAAGCAGAGCATTTGAACTCCACAGATTTCCAGGGACAAGTGAATACAATGCACTTTCCTGCCTGCGCACTAACTCAAAGCTAGAAATCGTGCTTCACTTCTAAACCATCACCCACCAGCGCATATCCAGCGTAGCTGCCCCGACCTACATCTGTCCACAACACCGAACTGAATCACGGACAACGAGGGTGGGAAGGGAGCTCAGGAGGTCACATCTAGTCCAACTCCCTGCTCCAAGCAGGACCAGCCTCAACTACATCATCACTGCAAAAGGTCAGAATGGGATATTCCCATTTTAACAGACGGGCAAACTGGGGCACAAAGTGGTCACGAGCATCAGCACGCCCCAAGTCACTGACAGAGCTGGAAAACCAGCCCAATTCCCTCGGGTGTGTTCAGATTGGGCTGTGAGGGGTTCTTCCTGGCTAAGCCGGCCCATTGCTACCTGTTAAAACCACTGTTCTTGCCTGCTGCAGCGGCTACTTATTTCGGCAAACAGAGCTGTGCTGCAGCACAGACCACTGTGGGGAAGCGAGCCAGCATCCCAGCACATGCCCTGGGCCCCAAAACTTTGCAAAAAGCTGATTAATAAGCATGGATATAATGGGAATCCAGGAGGGTGTGACTTCAGTGCTCCACATGGAATCACATATCCTGCAGTTGGAAAACACGACCACAATGCAGAAACGCAGCATTGCAGCATCCCATGGAGAGGTCAGAAAAGGGCTTCACAAAGCCAGCGGCTCTTTCCTGCTGCTTGGATGTCTTTGGTACCTCTGTGGCCGATCCTGTGCAGTGAAAGACGACCTCAGAGAACATAGACGACTTTGCTATTTCCCCCACTGCAAAACTGGAGAAAGCTGGGGAGCGTTTTACTGCAGCCGAAGGAAGTCCCTTCTGCGGGACAGGCCTGGGGTCTCCACTGGGTGGACTCATCATGGTTAGTTCATCCTGGGAATGCCCTAGCTCCAAATGGTGCTATTTGGGATCAAGGCCTCACAGTAACATGTTGCTGTGCTTTCAATAAAACACGCTTGTACCGGGCTGTCACCACTGTCCTTACCCAGATATGCCGTTCTTCTTCCAGACCTCGAACAGAGCAGACAGCACGTTCCCTCTGGCGTTGCTGGAACCGGCCTGCATTGCAAGAAGAGACAGACAGACAGTCAGCCTGATACGCCACTCCTTTCCACGGCTTGTATCACTTCACCGGTGCTTAATGCATCTACTGACGCTGTGGAATAGCGCATGCACACGTTCAGCTTATCAGCACCAAATATCTCCGTATCAAATCAGATCCGTTCAGACTGAAGAATGAGATGTTAACATCACTGTTCATATTTCTATGAGTTATGCACGTTATTATACATATTATTATGCTGCAAGAGCCCATGTACAGCATGAGAGGTGCTGTGCAAACACGCCGAAAGTCACCCTCCGTACAGAGGACATGGGACAGAAAGGTCGCAGAGAGGGATAGCAGCAAAGCAAGGAACAGAGGCCAGATCATCGCATCTCCCTCCAGGGCCGCATACATCAGTCCACGGCGTGTCTCAAAAGCCCAAAGCAAGAACAAGGCTTTGATTCCAGCCCCTGGGGGGCAATCCACTGGCTGTCGAGCCTGCCGCTTACTTATTTCAAAACTTCTAAGGAAGAGTTTTCCCTCGACATTTCATTTAAAACTATACAGTAAAAATAACTGCTTAAAAAAACCAGGGGGTGCAAGCAATCCCTGTACCACGTAACCACCCAAGCTACAAAGGCAAACAGACCGACTCCAGGGTGTTACATTTCACATACGGCAGGTAACGCGGCATAACATGGTGAATGTTTAATGCACCGCTGTGCCTTGCATGGCATCTTTCATGCGAGGATCTCAAAATATCTGAGTGGGTCAGCAGTATCACTCCTTCCCCGGTGAGGAAACAACCGAGGGCAGGTCAAGCTGCTCAGGGTGCTGGAGGAGTTCAGCAACGAGACCCAGCATGGCACGCATGCCACCCGTTGCACTGTGAATATGCATGTATGCCAGGGCATATGAGGTGCATATTGCAGGGAGATTTCTAACATAAGACTTATCCAAACGGAAAAAGGAATCCGGCCCCGTCTGCATTTCTGATGTCAGGAGTTTGTCACGAGGCCTTTGTATTCGAGCCTGAGCAGTGACATCTTTAATGGCTCTTTGGGGAAAAAAATCAAAGGCTTGAGGTAAAAGGAGAAAGAGGGGGAGGGAGGAAGCAGCACCGTTGTTATCTGCCCCAAAACAGCATGCTCCCATCCCATTGCAACACAGGGAGCAGAAATCATCAGCGTTAAGTGCTGGATCATCCACTTTGCCACTGCCCTGAACAAGTGCTGGCACTCTGCGACTGCACACCTGCCATTTCCGTGCTGTTCGGCTGCCTCTTACCTTTGCCAGCATAATTCTTGTCTTGGCTACATCGAGAGGCGTGGTGACTGCAGCTGCAAACCCACCTGAGCATATTAAAACACAAAACACAAGTGAGACATTGTTTGTCGAACAGGAATGACATGCTGCCTTGAATTCCCACAGCCCCGGCCAAAACCCCGATGGTATTAATGCTGACAGCCTGTTCCCCAGCTCGTAACATAGGATGTCTGCGCAGAGGGTTTTTAGCTTTTTTGTGCTAATTGGCAAGGAAGTGGTCCTTTGCGTGATGTGCCGGTAGCAGCCAGAGACTGCAGTGGAGGTTGGAGGTCTATGGTGCTTGGTGCTGTATGTAGGCAGATGGGATAGTTCCTATGTTAAACACCTACATGCTATACAACAGCAAGAAATCTCTTACTCGGAGAGGAAGGAGAACAAGTAAAGGTGTTGCATCCTGCCTTGACAGTGTAGTTTTGAACATCAGGCTAGACCAGGTTTTCGCTATAACAGGGAAAGGTGATGGGGTAAAACGTCCACAAGACACATACTTTGGGTCTGGATGTCAAGTTCAGGGCGCTGGGATTGGGATCATGGCTCTTTAGAGTGAAAAGAAAGCCAGAATTTCTGAAGGAAACACAACTGTATGCCAACGGCTTGGAAAGCTCAGGATGTAGGGGTTTTATTAATGGGATTCAGCCAAATGACCAAGTACCCAAGCACCAACCTTTCAGATGCACCCCTAAAGTCCCAAGCTACTCCTGACGCAGCGGCAGAGCAGCGAAGGGTCTGGACGCATGAGTTCAAGTGGGTCCCATCCCAAAAGCCACCTCCAATGGAGTGGTCATCATCTGAATGGGCAGCTGCTAGCTGAGGACAATGTTGGCCATACCATTCCCTTGTGTGCCGCTGGCTAAAGAAACTGGGGTGTTCAAACCACGCTAGCTAGCCCCGTTTTGAACTTGATGGCCACCCTTAGAGGTCATTTCTTTCCCCCAGAAGAGCTTGCCCAGCTGTGATACCCACACAGAAAACCTGTTCTCAAGAGGGGAAAAGGGAAATGCAGCTGGCTCAGAGACACCAGCCACCTCCGAAGGGTTTTTGAACCCGAAAGCTTGCTTAATAACTATTCTCCAACCATTTGGGTTGGTCTAATAAAAGATATCAAATTCACCCAAGGAACCTTGTCTGCCATGGAAGTCAGTCGTGTGATACCGTACCAACGTTATCAGAATCAGGCCCCAATAAATGAGATGCGGGACCCTCCAGGGCCGTGCCGGGAGCTTATACACACACCCATGCCCGATCAATGCTTTAATTCAGAGGCTGCAACCACTGTCTGCTTCACTTTCCAGGCTCTCTGCTGGCTACTACTTCTTCTAGGCTCCATCAACGCCTGTCTCCTATTTCCCCACCCTAACAGGACTCTGGTTTCTGGCTCTTTCACTCCTATCCATAAGAGCCGCATTTTAAAAGCAGCAACTCAAACGCTGCTCAAAATTCACCAAAATAAATATTTACTTGTCAGCAGCAGTGCAGTGCTACGGACCGCGGGGGAGAAAGAAAGAGTTGAAGAACAATCTTCTTCTCCGGAGTTTGTATAACTCCAGTGTCTGGGAGCCAGGGGGAGAGACGTGGTTCCAAGTGGCTGAAGCCGACGCAGCGTCCGGGGAATTGTCTAAAAATAGTCGACTGCGCTTCCAAGTTTTGTGGAATGTAGAGAAATGGATCTCATTTCTCCTGGAAAAAAAAAGGGAAAAAAAACCCACCCCAAACCACCCCCCACCCCTTCTCCTTTTAAATCTGCAAGCTACTGCAAATCAGGTTTATCCACTGGCTGCTGTTTTGACCTCTCTGGTCTAACTTCTGCAATATTAGGATGGTTCTTTATGTAAAAAGAATGCTAACGGGGCAGTTTTCTGTATCGGTTGCAAGGGATCGATTTCTTAAGGTTAACGAAGGCACGGTCGAGAACAATCCGGTACTCATCGTCTGGGGTGAGAGAGAGATGCCTTGTTTCTGAAACAGGAATGC